TAGATGCGGTTTGAAGGAGTTTAGATAAACTAGTTTGAGATGATAGCATGGAAATCTGTCCCTCCTCATCACATGACTACTATCAAATGGGGGAGGTGCGTATTGGAATTACTTCTAGCCTGCAATTTTCTCTCTCTCACACCATTAATTCATGAACACATATATAGTTTTTTGAGGTATTTGATTAATGATTTTAAAGCAGGATGACTCACTTATTAAATAATTTATTACGTGTAAATAAACGTGAGTACGTATTAGGAGATATATTAGGACCCGGACAATTCTTCCCCTAAACACTTGTCTAGGCTCTTCATAAACCTTGGAGAACTCTCAAAACGTGCACCAATACTCTTTGATGCTGATGTATTTGTGTGGTTCCGATTGCATCAATATGGCTAATAATCGTAAGTGTAAGGTAAAAAGGTGCTTCCTCCTACGTTTTCTAATTTTGTCTTATTTATTTTTTTCATTAATTTCCATTAGAGTAGATTTCCTTGATTACATGTTTGTTTTCTGATTAGCTATTTCATTTTTCCTTCACTTCTCTTGTTTATCATCTCCAAACTTGCATTAATTTTTCATCAAAACCAAAAGTTCTATCCATTTGGTTTTAATTGGTAAAAGTTTCCTGGCCCTTGAAATCATGCAAAAGATCGTGAAGTGACCGAGTAAGCAGATGATGTTTTTGTACATATATAAAAATATATACGTGGAATGACGTGTTTGAAGGTTTATACTGTTCCATAAAGCCTAGATAGTCAAAATTTTCAAGGCTCTCGTGCTCTTAGTTTCTGTGTCTTGCTTAAATAAATACCGCGCATTTTCTCAAGTCCAATCTGAAGCTTAGAATTCTCCCTTGAATATGGACCCCAAAATCAAATCAGACCCCTTCTCGGAACTCTTTATAAGCCCTATATCTATCTCTCTCACAGCTACAAACAAAAACATAACCTTTAGAAAATACAAAACAAACGCAACAGAAAAGTTCTTTTTAACCAAACGAAAAGTACATAAAACCATACCTAATTCGTTAGCTTGTCCAAGGAGCCATGCAGCGTTCACCAGCTTTGGTTCGCCAAATTCTTCGCCAAGGAAGCAACCAAATCCAAACCGTTAATTCCAGGCCATGCGACGTGTTCATTAACCACCGTGGGATTGACACCAAGAGAACCGTGGCCGGGTTGCTCTTTTACCATTTCTCGCGGCTCAGGCTGCATCCGTTTTTGGATAGCAAGAACATGAAACCTGGGGACAAGCTGTTCGATGAAATCGATGAGGCGATTCGAAAATGCAAGGTGGGGCTTGCCGTGTTCTCGCCTCAGTATTGTGAATCTTACTTTTGTCTTCATGAGTTGGCTCTGTTAATGGAGTCCAAGAAGAGGGTGATACCAGTTTTCTGTAATGTAAAGCCGTCTCAGCTTAGGGTCAGGGACAATGGAACTTGCTCTCCAGTTGAACTTCAAAGGTTCAGTTGGGCGCTTGAAGAAGCCAAGTATACCGTTGGACTTACTTTCGACTCCTCCAAAGGGTAATTAGATTGTCATTTTTGAATAACATCTGATTTTATATCTTTGTTCTTGGATCGATCACTAATATTGGTTGTTTTTTTTTTTTGTGGGTTTTCTTTAGGGATTGGTCGGAGTTCCTGAGAGACGCTTCTGATGCGGTGATGCAGAACTTGCTGGAGGTAGAAGGAGAAGGAGCATACAAGATTGACCGTAAATACGATTTTCAGGATCAATGTTAATACACACACAAAACAATCAATTACTTGACAATCTCACAAAAGAGAAAAAGTAATTACTACTTACATTCGTTCTCAATTACTTGGTTTGTTATACAAATTCATTGATTTTTTTTGTATAGGAGACAAAGAATGTCTTCAAAGTTTCTAACACGTTTTGTTGATTTGTATTTCGTTATTAGGATTGAATAAACTGTATACTTCATTTCCATCTTGTAACCAAAGATGTAAAATTGTACTTGTAACAAATTCATGCTTCCTTCAAAATAATGTGAAGTTGATTCTTTTTTCTTGTTATCTCTCTCGTGGGAGCCGCAGATCTATCCTTAACTTGAATTTGGACTGGAGTACATCATTAATTTGAATTTAATGATGATCTTGTGAGTGCCGTTGTTTTATATAATTATTTTATTAGTGCCATTGCTGTTCCCAACAAGTTAAGACCGTCATACTAAAATGCTTGATCTTAACTTGTTTTGTTTTACACGTAAGAGGGTTGCTTGCTTTAAACATTTGTTCATCTACGGCATACACTCTTTTTCCATGCAGATGCATAATTAATTTATCCTCTTTTTTACAATATTGGAGAGAGCTCCATCATATGCTATCAATGAATGCAATATTGGTGTGAAAATCCTTCGTAAGAGGCATGAAAAATCGGCTTGATGAAGGCAAAATCTTATTAATACGGCTCACCAAAGCAAAATATTATTATTTTTTAGTCAAAGAGAAAAGTTGGGGAAATGCAATCTTGACAGAGATACGGAAGAAAGAGAACAGAATTTATATTGTGATTACCAAGAACTTCAAGAAGAAGGTATTAGCAGAGGAATGGCTGCCCATCCATCATCACTATACTTTTACTAAACCAGGAAGCAACAAAAACCGCAGCACCGTCCACCAGCAGTGGTAATATATATTGAGAGAAGGCAAGATCCACGTCTCATCTCTGTGTGGGAATTCAGAAATTGACCTTGAATTGACCCCTACTGAAATATTCATCCTCTTCGGCTTTAACCAAAAGAAACTTCTCAGCAATTCACTTTGCCAGACCAATTTATGAATTTTAAAATGGATATGAGATGTACATATCTAGCAGCACATGTCACATGTCATTTATTATTTTATTTCAGTGGGAATTGCTTTTGTTTGCTTTTGTTTTCAAAGTAAGAGTAATCAATATGTAAAGGATTGGGCTTTTGCTTTTCACATTTATTTTATTTCCTCTTTTACTTGAAGGCTGTTTTTTTTGGTAACTCTTTCACTTGTTGAAGCCAGAGACGAAGAAAACGAGTAATTGCAAGAATTCAAAGAGTTCATTTCGTGATTCAGTCTTTTACTGTACACATCCGCTTTTATGAGTACATTTTTCATTGAGAGGGACGATAACATACTAAATTCGCAAGTATGCACGGACCAGTCCCGTCTAGATAAGGCTGAAACCCAACCTAAATTTTAGAAGATTTGTCAATAGCTAGGTAGCCCAGCCATTCTGGGTAAAAAATACCTACCCCATTTATTAGCCTTTACAGTCTTAGAGCATCCGTAATGGGCTCCCTAAATCACCTCCTTAGACAAATTTTAGGGAGGAATTGTAAAAATGCAACTCCAACCATGCTCCCTATCCACCTCCTAAAATAGGGAGTCCTCTAAGAGCTCCTAAATCTGAGGAGAGAGAAAGTACTCCTAGTGGCTCCCTATAATTTAATGCTGCCTTATTTAATAAGTATTTCAAACATTTATTTAATGCTAATTATTTTTTATTTTTTATTTTAATAGAGATGGACAAATCAAAAAAGAGTTATAGCATTTATGACAAATTAGGGAGTATGGTTGGAGTTGAAATTTTTTAGAGAGCTCCTAAAATAGGTTTCTTATATTTTTAGCTAAATTTTAGCTAAGAAATAGAGAACATCATTGCGTCCACAATGTGCTCCTTAAACCACCTTCTTAGACAAATTTTAGGGAGGAATTATAAAAATACAACTCCAACCATGCTCCATATCCACCTCCTAAAATAGGGAGACCTCTAGGAGCTCCTAAATCTGAGAAGAGAGAAATGACTCCTAGTGGCTCCCTATAATTTAATGCTGCTTTATTTAATGAGTATTTCAAACCTTTATTTAATGCTAACTATTTTTTATTTTATTTTTTAATAGAGATGGATCAATCAAAAAGGAATTATAGCATTTATGACTCCATAAATTAGAGAGCATGACTGAAGTTTAAATTTTATAGAGAGCTCCTAAAATAACTTTTATATGTTTTTAGCTAAAATTTAACTAAAAAATAGAGAGCATGATTGTGGATGCCCTTATCACCCCAAGATAAAAAAAATAGTAAGGAAAAAAAAAACCCGAAGATTCTCTTCACCCTTCTGTCATCCCGTGGAGTAATTTTTGGGGTTCCCTTCTGTCATCCCGTGAAGTTCTCTCTTCTCCCTTCTCCCCTTTGTCATCCCGTAACTCTTTTTTTTTATTTTTTTTGTTTGAGTTTTCTTTCTTCTTATACTCTTCTTTTTCTTTTCTATTCTCAACCCCCTTCTTGTACTCTTTATTTTTTTCTTGTAATTTATTTCTAAGATTGTTTTATGTATAAGTGGGGAAGTATGCTATTATTCTTCATAATATAGTTGAAGATGTAGAAGTAAATTATAGAAGTTTTTAATATATTATATACAATTTGAGAATTATCATTAAAATTGTGAAAATTTTAATGATAATTGGCCTAAAATTAGTCTTGGACATTTTTGAATTATAGGTCCACTCACACACACAATACGAATGTTAGGACTCGAACTCCTAATATTTTCTTGAGAAGTATTTGTTCCAATCACTACACTAGTAGATTCTTTGCACTGAAAATTTTATTTTTAATCTCACCACAAAGAGTGAATACAAAATTAAAGAGGGATACATCAATATCTTTAATAAAGTACAAAGGGTCAATACAAAGCATATGTGGACCAAACACCATCAACAAATTTTTTTAGTTACTTGCTGAGCCTCTATGTCTTAGTTACTTTGTACGTACTATGTATTGATGAGTGAGGATCTTTGTGATGAGTTGTATAATGGTTTTCTCATTCGTGTCATGCTAATGTATGTTTAGCATTTTGTGCAATACTCGGTTTTCTGTACAAATGTTGAAAGTTTAAAATGAACCATTAATTTGTCATGTTCAATATCAATGTAGCATTTAAAGCAAAATCATATGTGTATATATATATATATCCAAGAAGGTTGTCTCTGTCTCCCACCCACCCGCATGTCATATGCAGTAGTATTGTACTGTACATGAAGCCAAAAGGGTCTCATCTGTTTGCATTATTCCATTTTCATATTTACAGTAAAACCACACTCACAGAAACAGAGCCCCTCCTCAGTCTTTAAGCTTTGTCCCAGATCTCATAAGACTATTCATCAGATACACACCCTTTCACACTCTTTTTCCAAAATGGGTTGGAGAAACAGAAGTTCTCTTCTCTTTTTTCTTGTTTTATGTATTGTCCATGTGATAGATGCTATGAATTTCAGGAACAATACCCATCAAGCAGAATACACTCAGTTCCTTCTTGCCAATGGGGTTGCTCGAACACCTCCAATGGGGTAAGTAAGATCAATTGAGTACTATTTGGAATTGCTTTCATCGGATTACCTGGTTTCCAAGTTTTATTTGAAAGCAATTGGCTTTTTTCAATTTGGCTAACTGGTTTTGAATGCAGTTGGAACAGTTGGAATCACTTCCAATGCAATATAAATGAAAGCACTGTGAAGACTATTGGTAAAGTTTTCCTATGAAAAATGTCTTCAATATCACAACAATGTTACATACACAATTTCATTAAAAAGCTTGTTTATTGCAATTAAAGATATTGACTTTGAAGCCAACAGTATAGGTGCACTTGCTTTATAATAGGTTTCTACCAGTAAGATTAATTATAAGAATGGCCTCAATTGAATTGGCTTCAAAGATTTCTCACAATTTGTGCAGTTGAATTTGTATACCATTCATTTGTAAGAATGATCATGTAACGTTTTGTGTTGATTTGTTTGAATTTTGAGTACAGTGGATGCTCTTGTTTCAACTGGATTGGCAGCAGTTGGATACAAATATGTGAATTTAGGTCGGCATCCTTACAGACTTTCACTTGATTATTTGGTTCTGAATATCCTGCCTTTCCTAGCCACCTATAACAAGGTCCTCACTCTCACTCTTGATGGGGTCTAAAATGCAGATGATTGTTGGGCTGAAAGAAACAGAGACTGGAGGGGTAATCTCAGAGCAAAATCGTCTACTTTTCCTTCTGGAATCAAGACCCTTGCAGATTATGTTCATGCAAGAGGCTTAAAACTTGGCATATACTCTGATGCTGGGTAAATATGTCTCTGAAATCTGTGTTTATATAAAATGAAGACTATCTGTTGTTCATATGATTTTAATTTCATTTTTTTGTATATTAGCTATATGACCTGCAGCAACACAATGCCGGGCTCACTTGGGCATGAAGAGCAAGATGCAAGAACCTTCGCAGAGTGGGTTTGTATCTGATATTTTTATACAACATGAGGAAGAGTAATTGATTTTTTTGGTTAAAGGAGTGAACTTCAGCTGATAGGGACATTTGGCTGTAGGGGGTCGATTATTTGAAGTATGATAACTGTTACAATGATGGTTCTAAGCCTCAAAAAAGATATGCTAGAATGAGTTATGCACTGCAAAAGGTTGGAAGACCGATTTTATACTCCTTATGCGAATGGCAAGTCACTTGTACTTGATAACATCATCATACTGTCTTAAATTTGTTTACAAGGTCTGTGTGTTTGCATCACTAGAAACTGTTTGGTATTATCAAACAAGCCTTAACACAAAAATGTGTTCTTAAAGGGGACAAGAGAATCCTGCCACATGGGCTGGTTTGTATGGCAATGCTTGGAGAACTACAGGAGACATTAACGATACCTGGGAAAGGTGCACTCTCAGTTCCTTATTTTTCTAATTCTTTCAAGATCTCAACCTGAATCCTGATTTGACAGAGAATTCTAACCTTGAAACATTGAATCATTTGCTTTTATTAATCTGTGCACATTACAATTTCAGTATCACGTCGATTGCAGATCAAAACAACATTTGGGGGAGATATGCAGGACCCGGCAAGTGGAATGGTAATTTTTTTTAAATGTTATTGACTGTCTATTTTCTGTTATTCGAGTGAAACCATGTAGTTGTGTAACTTATGTTACAATTACAAACCATATTGAACTTGAGAATTTCCAGAGCCATCTTGTTTCTTATCTTTGTTTAAATGCCTGTATACTTATTTATTTGAAATGTAATTTGATTGTAATAGATCCTGATATGTTGGAAGTGGGCAATGGAGGGATGAGTCTAGAGGAGTATAGATCTCATTTTAGCATTTGGGCAGTTATGAAAGTATGCGATCATCTCCAAACTTTCTAATTGCTTTCTTTCAGTGATCTCTTTGACTTGCATACACTGATAATACCAGAAATATTATTGTCACAGGCTCCTTTACTTATTGGATGTGACGTCCGATCTGCAAGCAAAGAGACTCTTCAGATCCTTGGAAACAAGGAGGTCATTAATGTTAATCAGGATCCAATGGGAGTTCAAGCAAGGAAATTGCGTTCAAAAGATGGCCTAGAAGTATGTTGCAGTTTCAGATGCTTGCCCTTTTCCTTCATTTCTGCAATTAGTTTATAGACTATTGATCAACCATGTTTGTTCAAATTCTATAACCTGTCACAGCTTTTCAAACTATAGTCATATGATAAGCTGTCAATTTGATATGCAGGTGTGGGCAGGACCATTATCAAGTAAAAGAGTGGTGGTAGTGTTGTGGAACAGAGGCAGGTCAGTTGCTCCTATATCTGTGACATGGAGGGACGTTGGACTATCTCCGTATAAGCCTGTTGTCGTCAGAGATCTGTGGGCGGTATGTATGCATTTATAGAAGGATGCTTGCGCGCATGGGCTGATGCATTGTGAGCCTCACACGCATCCGGCCATCAGCCCACGCGCGCAACTCACCCTAGCACTGCTCATGTTTGATATATCTGTTTTGTGTGTTCCTTTGGTGGCTCATGCCTTAATGTAATTTGATTGCAGCACTCATTTGTTTCAAGGAACAAGCGTTTTCGGTTGACTGCAAATGTTGCTCCTCGTGGTTGTAAGATGTATGTCCTAAGTCCCTACTAGAAGAAAAAGATGGCTCTCTTTATATATCCATATTTGGACTTGAGGCCACCATATTTATTTTGCAAAATACTTGCATACAAGAAATCTGTTAAAATAAATGTTTTGACTCAAGAAGATATTTTATTTTGTCACATTGAATGAGAAGTTCAGGGGATTGCTTGTACAAATATTGTTCTATGCCGACAAAGTTTCGTCATTCGCGGCAAAGTTTTTCTTTCGGGGACAAATCTTTGCCAGGCTAGACCTACCCGACTAATGTGGAAAATTTAATATCTTTGATCTTCTGGTACTTAAAAAAAGTTTGCCTGGACCTCTACAACAGTAAATTCACTTGCCTGCTTCCATGGTTACAACTTATTACTATATTATTTGTGGATGGTAGCGTGAAAGAAGGTTGTAACTTGTGACCTCTCCTATTAGGGCGGCTTTTGCACACATCGCATAGACACATACTATTCATTTGCAATGTGAAAGCATTTTGATATAATCAAGACTCATTGTCGTCAAACATGGAATATGACATAATAATAAAAATAACTCCACCGCCTAACTCTTTTTTCTTTTCAATTGAAAGAGATTTCAAGTTCAAACTCCTTTTTTTATTGATTTAAAATAAATAAATAAATAAATCTTGAGCGTCAACAGAAGAGTCAAGGCGAAAGTGGATTTACACAATACACAATGTTGCATCACATGAATGAACTATAATTCATGGATCGCGCATTGTAAGCCACAAAACACCAATTTTATAACTCAAAATTAAAGTGGCAGCAGCTGTCATATGGCCATGATTTTTCAAAGGAAATAAAAATTGTGGTGTTCACGAATCACGGGCACCCCCCAACCCAACTTTTTGTTTCCTAATCAAGAAGCTATTAGGCAAATTCAGGCTGTTGTTCTTCTTCTATTTATTTATTTTGGTCATGTAGCCCTACAAATATAGCTACAAATTATATTATAGGATATGTATGCCACAGCCTGTACGCGTCTAAATTATCAAGGATTTCCACGTGTACAATATTGATTGGTTTTTATTATTAGAAATAAAGTTCTGACAGGATAAATATTTAAACTTAAACAAAAATTATGTTTGAAAGCAGCATGTGGATCCTCGTCGTGAAAGCCACTTTTGCAGCATGTCGTGTGGACTGTGGACAAATGGATGGGCCCATCAGAAGCAGACAACCAGTCAAGTAAGAAAGTTGGGCCTGGACTTAAAAATACGGTCTGAATCTGTCAAATGTTTTATTTTATTTATTTATAATAGAATGGATAATGGAGGAGGGGGATGAAGTAAATGCTCTTAATCACTTGAGTCACAAATCCCTTATTTATCAAATGATTTAAGGTGACTAACACGGAGACCTCATTATTGATTTTGAATATTGTCTAAATTACTGATTTTGCTTAAATTTTGCATGCTTATTGATTTCGGATATCGTGATGCTGTGTAGAAGAACGAAGCATCCCAAGTCACAAAATGTGATGTAGAGAAGCAAAAAGGACACAAAGCAAGCTAGAGAATCAAAGCTAATAATGACCTCATTTTTTATCTTCCTCTAAATTTGTGGATAGTGATGGATATATGATGATGCAAAGATGGCTGATATAGTCAAAGTCCAAGCATGACATACAGGCATTTTGACGCATGGAGTACTCGTCCCCCATGTGCTAATATGTGGACATTCGAAAACAACATTCAACTGAAATTGCTAGCTAAGCTAACCTTGGCCGCCTCATGAGTTAAACCCCAAATTTCTTAGAATGTTGTTTCATATGGTTAAATGAATTTGACCACTAGCTACTTTGAGGTCTAAAATAGATATACATTATGAGAATATACCCATTGTCAAAAAGGCAAGTGGAGATTAACCTCACAATAGGGCATGGACTCATTCAAGATCTCATAAAGATTTTCTGTCTTCGACACCAAGGTCATAATACAAAGGTAATATGAAAAAAGTACATGATAACTATGTAACTCATACTTCAATTCTACCACGTCTGATAATTTAGTCATTCCGTCAATATGACTGTTAAAATGAATACATATCGTTCTATAGGTGATTTGTACATGAATGAACACATGGTTATACTCCTCTAATTGAAGTTCATATTGACGGAAGAATCAAATAGCTGCACCGCACATGAGACAAATGACCCGAGTACAAGTTCAAAGACCATTACATTTAAAAATCCGAAAAAATAAAAGAAAATGATGTCTAGCACGCACATTAACACACGTGCGAAGTCTCTCTTTCTCTCTTTTCACTCACTCACAAAATCTGTTATGTAGAGGGAGCTAGTTGGGCGTGTTTGGCTGATCAATAAGAAAAGCATGACATGAAAGGCGTACAGGCAGTTCCAAACCTCCGATCCGACCCACAAAACCTCCCCACATTTCTGCCCTGCCTTATCATCACCCCCTCCCCTTCCATATTCATGGTCCCAACCCCCACGTGTCGCCAAACCATTGCGTCATGCATCCACGTGTCGCCCGATCACGGGTGCCGCTTGGGGTCTTTTATTAGTACCTAACCGCCACTCTGCCTCATCTGCCTCATGATCAACCTCATCAACCTCACCACCATTTCCCCTCCCCTCTCTTTACTCTTTAGCAGCTACCATTGCTCAAACACTTGCAGCTTTAGCTCTAATTCTTCTTCATCAATCAATATTATTTTCTTCTTTCCTTTTTTTCTTTTTGGTGATACCAACACCGACTTTAAACAAGTAATTAAGAGGAACTGATGGAGAGCACAGATTCATCATCGGGTTCACAAGTACACCCGCAGCTGCCACCCGGGTTCCGGTTCCACCCGACCGATGAAGAGCTGGTGGTCCATTATCTCAAGAAAAAGGCCGCCTCCGCTCCTCTACCGGTCACCATCATCGCCGAGGTGGACTTGTACAAGTTTGATCCATGGGAGCTACCAAGTACGTACGTCATCTTTAATCAATCAATTAGATAGATTTCATTAATTATGATGTTGTTCAATGAAATTTGATTTTTTATTTGTATAGGCAAGGCCACGTTTGGGGAGCAAGAGTGGTATTTTTTCAGTCCAAGAGACCGGAAGTACCCGAATGGGGCAAGGCCTAACAGAGCGGCAACTTCAGGGTATTGGAAGGCCACGGGCACCGATAAGCCTATTCTAACATCCACTGGAAACCAAAAGGTTGGCGTTAAAAAAGCTCTGGTTTTCTATGGTGGCAAGCCCCCAAAAGGGATCAAGACCAATTGGATCATGCACGAGTATCGCCTAGTCAACAACAACAACAACAACTTTTCTAAGCCTCCTGATGCATCCAACAAAAAAGCCTCTTTAAGGGTACATTTAATAGTATTTGGTTTGTCAAACAAAACATTAATTCATGTGTTAACTTGTGGGTATTGATCTACTGTTTTTCTTGTAGCTTGATGATTGGGTATTGTGTCGGATTTATAAGAAAAACAATGCGCAGAGGCCTATGATGGACGAGGATTCTTCCAATAATTCTATGGACGGTATGTTTGTCCACCCATCATCAATATTGCCAGCTCCGCCGCCGCCGCAGCCAAAGCACACTACAAACTACACGGCGTTGCTCGAAAACGATGATCACGAGGGTTTTTTCGAGGGTATATTATCGTCAAGTGATCAACAAGGATCTCACCCTCATCATCATCATCATGATCAGTTTGGTGGTATATCTACTTCAAGCTCAAAAAGTAACCTACCCGTGAAACGTCCACTTCCATCGTCGTTTTGGAACGATGCGGGATCGATGGGGACTGGTCCTGCTGCTACTACAAGTTCATCGAGCAAAAGGTTTCATGCTGATCTCAACAGTGGTATTAGCACCACTGCTGCAGGTGGGGTTGATGAAAGCAACTCCTCCTTTGTTTCTATGCTAAACCAGTTCCCACAGGGTACGGCGCCGTTTCACCCTAATGCACTTCTTGGATCCCTCGGAGATGGGATTTTGCGCCAACAATTTCAACACCCAAGTATGAATTGGAATTCATAGCTTGGTTTTAGATGATGGATGGGTCAGATTCAGAATCATCTGTAGCTAGCTATAATCGCTTTGGACTGTAACTATAGCATGAACATACGGGTAAGGTTCATATATTTTTATTTTATCTTTTTGATAAATTTCTATTTTCACTCTTCCAAATTATATACTTGTGATTATGGTCATAACAAGAACATGGTTTATGTAGATAATTCAAAAAATATATTTATGTTGATGTTATTATTATTATTTTTTACCCAAAAGACACTTGCAAGCAACTGTGAATAATATTTCTACATCTCTGAAATTATTTTATTGCGATTAAGAAAATTATGTACGGTGATGGCTTCTCCGTTTGTCATTTAGTGTATCTTAATCAACTTCTGCCCATCATCCGTCATCTCAATTATGATATAAACCCATCATATGAGATGTATTGTTTACATTCATAAACCCAAAAATTTCAAGTTTGTTTTATGATACTTTTGAAATAACTTAATCGACTGTAGACTAATGACGTTAGCTAATGCTATGCATGCATATCATCAAGCTTCTTTCAGTTTCTTTTATGCTCTCTCTCTCTCTCTCTCTCTCTCTCTCTCTCCAAGCTAGGGCTACAACACAAGGGCTTCTTTCATCTGTTTATAATCAATCAATCACTAACGAAAGATATCATTTTATATCTTCAACAAGAACACAAAGATATGGTCTTTATATATACTTGTTATATTTTTATATAATTTTGAGATTAATTATAAATCGACAGAAACTATGAAATGATATTTATAAAGAAAATAAAAAGACTGATTGACAGCCAAGTGGTCCAAATCTAACAAAGTTTGGGAAGCAAAACAAAAAATAATTGATCATATGAAGATATGAAATGGGGGAGAGAATCAGTGAGGGCAATATTTTCCACTAAATGACGTGTACATTATTCCATGTCACCATCAGCTGTTGATTACAAGATGAGATTTTAGGTTTCAAATGTCAACATGGCAAACATATGGGCATGGAATGTTTCTTTCTTGTTTGTTCCAAAATTCTAATGCACATATGTATCGCCCTCCCATTGGCTCATCACAAAAGCACTCACCTAATTGTCGCGTTTGCTTTGATTAGCTGGAATGGAACCCTGTCCTTGCCCTACTTATTTATCCTAAATCTTAATTATTTAGCAGATTAATCTCACGGTTTAAATCTAATCTAAACGGGGTTTTGTTTCTTCCATTACCTCCGCCCTCGAAAGCTCTAGTACATGGAAGTCAAGTTCAGTCTACAAAAGTATATCATTTTTCACATTATATTTTTTGTAAGTTTCAACACAGTAGAATAAGATATTTGTATCATGTCCAAGTAAGGAATCGTGCCATAATGTGCAGAATAACTTTTGTTATAATACATCGGTTACTACCTAATTAATTAATCAAGCTTTGTGAGTAATCACTTTACTTAATTCATTGAGAAATAGAACGAAATATATATTTCAGAAACTCCACATAATTAATCTGTGTGTGATTTTGGAATACATACCGAAACATCAAAGTCATATTTTGAATAAGCATTTCTTTTCGGGGAGATTCATTTTCATTTCCATCAATAACAATTGATCTTATAGATCGATGTACAAGCTAGCTTATTGAAACTGGCATATGATGTTGAGGTCGCGTGAGAACCATAATCCTAAGGGCCCGTTTGGTTTGCATATTGAACTTTCTGGAAATGAACTTCCCATTTGAAAGAAGAATGTATGCTTTCCTCTTTGAGATTTAACAACAAAGACTCGTTTTTCTCCTTAATAAACTTTCCTTCGAAAGTAAATATATATTTAAATATATCGAGTAACTTTCTATTTTATAATAAAGGGCTTGATTAGGGATAAAAGTCTTGTTAGTCACAAAATGTGTCTAAATACAACACAATTAATAAATTTATTAAACATCTAAAACATGTGGTTGTATCCTGTATGGCATTGGCAACGCAAGCTTTGTGCACCGACAAAAATGATGGCCTTAAGAGGATGAAATCCATGAGCTATATATTCCTTGAAAAGACACCATGCCATGATGCCATATGAGCCAATCAAACACAATTTGCAATTACAAGATCAGTTCCTTCAAGATTACCAACAACATGATGCAGTACAAGAGAAAGGTGGCCATTCAATGCTCTTTTTCTTGGCAACGAACAAGGGCCTTATTTTACACAGAAAAGTAAAGGGTTTTACTCTCTTCATCTGTAAACTAACATGTTTTATTCTCTATATATAGTTAGGCTATATAGTCTTCTGCTACATGTATAGCCTAGCAAATTGGTAAATACTAAGAGCAAAATCTTTTTGAGCCCTACATCTATATTAATATATATATATATATATATATAGGATCTCCTTGATTATAAGCAGAACTGACTTAATTAATCATCTTCGAGCCGAAGGCAGAGATTCCCCGAGAAGAAAAGACGTGAATAAAGCCAGTGAGTTGCTTGGTTTGAAGCAGGGAACTGCATGCCCAGCTCCTCTAAATGTGGCAAATGTAAGACCTTCATATTCTTGAAACCAACCACTGACCTGCCATATACATATCATAATTCACAAAATTAATAGAAAATGGAAATTTAAGCTATCATTATAGTAGATTTAATTATTAACTTAAACTTCAATTTTTAAGGCTTGGTTGGTGGTAGTAACTAATTACCTGCTTCTGGTGGTACCAAGGACTCCATGCCTTAATAATAGGCAGTCCCAGAGCACTTAAGCTGTATCTGGTGGAAAGCACAGGAACTCTTCCATCTGTGTCTCCACTGAGCCATCCACAAAAGAAAACCATAAAGGTGGGTTTTAATTTATATTTCATTTCCATTATAATAATATCATCACTTGATATTGATGTTAAGGCAGGGAACATCTACCTGTACACCCATATTCTAAGTCCTGCTGCAATGAGTTTCTTGTATATAGGAAGAACAGATGGCTTTGAATATGCCCAATCGTCAAATATTTTGTTACTGCAAAACCAAATTAGTTGAACAAAATGTTGTTAATTAGCAAGTTTGAAAATTTTCTTGAATACAGTCTTAAAATGAATAAATAATCTTGGCAAACATAAATGAAATATAACTCCTATATATGTCCAAAATAAGCCAAGGAGACAGCAGTAATTACTTGCAGATGCTCCAGTTCTTGAGCCGGACACCATCACTAACATGGAGGGCCTTTTGCACTTCTGGTCTGTTATAAAATGTTTTCGTATATTCGTCGAGACATGGGTCATAGCCACCCATAATCCTTGGCATCTGATAAGCATAAGCCATGAACTTGCACGTTAATTAAACTTAAAATTATATACCAAGGGTTCATAATATTAATTTTAAATCTTCTCTCACTCACCATGGTAGATGTGCGCTTCATCATGACTTGCATTGAACCATCATCTGAGCTTGCTGTATCACCAATGCAGACTGAGGTGTACAGGCTGTAGATATCTATCTCCTTATACTGTTTTAACACTTCATCCACAGCTAGAGTACAATCTTTGTTACTCCAAGTATCATTTCTGTCGAAATCACAGCTTTCGCGTATTATTTTGTGAGTTTCATCTGATATCACAGCATGGCTCCAAGCATAATCCACCAGACCCCTCCAGTCCTCAGCATCAGATGTTTCAGGATTACCCAACTGTACATCAAATAGAAGAAAATAATTTAACCCAAAAAAAAAAATATGTTATGATGAACAGAAACAGATCAGATAGATCCTATTTGTTGTTTCCCAAAGGACCATACCAGGATACCCTTGAGATCAATATGGAGGGAAGGATCTTTGTTCTTGTCATAGATGAACTCGGCTAGCTCCGGAACATATTTTCCTGTTAAAAAGAAAGAGAAGAATTTTGGGTATACAAAAGAAATTCGATTGGAGAGCACATGATAAAAAAAGGGTGAGGGACTGAGGCTGACTTACCTGCATAGCTCTCCCCTGCAATGTAAAAGGTCCTTGTTCTGTACGATGGGAACTTGAGAAACCACTTGTGCAGGAAAGTATACGCATCATTCGCTGAATTAAGTAGAAAAACCAGATCAAAATCTTCTAACGGTATAGTCATTAGCCTCACCACAAGATCAAAAAGAAAAAAAGAAAAAAATCTTAACCATATGTTTGAAAATAACATAGAGCAGTAATACTTGTTTAATCACTGGAAATAGTAATACCGGTTGTAGAGAATATAAAGCACTCGACTTTTAAGTAACTGACCTGTAAAGACATCTCCAAGATTCTCATAATCAGAAGTTGTATTGGAGTATGAGAAGCCAACCCCAACCGGAGATTCCAAGAATAACATGTTGGCCTCTGCATCATCAGAGATATCCAAATATATTACTACAAATTGGTGAATTTTTTATATCATAAATTCAAAATAAAGGGAGCACCATACAGATAGTATATCAGCAGGTGCAAGCAATTAAAGAAGTAAATGAGATGTTTAAGCATAAAGAAGAGCAAAGTTTGCATAACTGATTTGATAGTCAAGTACCCAATACCTTTATTCCATGAGTAGTTATTTAATCTAATTCCATGTCCATCAGTGTCCACTATGAATGGACCAATCTCTTGGGTAGCTCCATATCCCACAGAAGAGCACCCAGGACCTGAAACATAAAGCATCTTGTCACCTCAGCAGATAACATGAAGCAAAAGTGCCAAATGGGGATTATTAAGTATCATAGAAAATTCTTTGGATGAGTTGGAAAGGACAAAAAGATGACCTCCACTAGAATAAGTACAATAGGATAATTAACCACCATATACTCTAATAAAAGCTTTATAATTGTTTATTAACAGAAACTAAACTGTTTAAATATTGGGTGACGCACTGTCTAAAGATAAGGAAACATGAAGATATCAAGGAACCTGTGCTTGCTTCCTCTTCCACACATATATGATTATGTATTTGGTATATAGATAAATGCAGATTTGGTCAAAAGATGGAAATATATACCTATATATCAGCATGGAATATATCTAGATGGCTAAAAAGATAATTGCAAGAAGTTGATGAAAAGTTTTCCCTGCTAAGATGATTTAGAACCCAACAAACTTGTAATCAAATTAATTAATTGGTTCCAGCCAAACATCACCTCCCAATGAGGTTCATAAACAACCATGATTGAGGCATTAGCAGAGGGAAGGTGGAAGTCCTGGCTTGCAATGTTATGGACAAAGACGAACCATACATTTACACGTATTTATGACCATATATGTAGTTTTATATATATTGCTCGTAAGTGCTCACCTCCATTAAGCCACAACACCAGAGGTTTTGCATCTGGGTTGGTAGCAGCCTCATAAAACCAGTAAAAGAGAGCCCTTCCATTTGTTTGGTTCACTGTGACATAGCCAGCATAGTGCTTGAAGTCTACAGCAGGTTGGCCAGGCAAGTTGGTCACAAGGTCCTGAGTCCCCAATAAGTTGATCAATTTCTCACTATTAGACCGTTTCTTTCTAGAACCCAAAACAGGCTCCACAAACTGCAGAGCAATAAGGGCCAAGACGAAGAAAGCTGTCGCTTTTGGTACAAAATTCATATTGGATGGGAAGTACAAAAACAGACACCAAACAATATTGCTAGCTGGAGACAGCTACCACAAAACAAGGATGAAACATAAGCAAATCCAACATGTCTATTTATACCCATTGGGGACTAATACTAGAGCATCCACTAAACCATACGAGGATGTATGAAATTCAAAGAAAGAAAAAAAGTAGATATGGAAGAAGAGTCCTACGTGGCAATGTAATACTTTATGAAGTTCACAAATATGTGGCATTGGCATCTGACTCGGGTTAATTAGGCAAGCTCAGCTTCTAGGCTATTCATGCATGAGCAAGTGTGATAAGTGGTACCTCCATTGTCTAGTGTGGGTTGGTGATGACTGAATGAGTACTTCAGAAAAAACAAAAAATCTATGATTCAGAAACCTGATGTCTAGATTCTACCCCTAGTATCATCCCCCACACCATAAAATCTGAGCCAGTATGGGAAGATCTTAAAAGAGTCTCTGAATGATAATATTTCTACCCCTAGTATCATCCCCCACATCATGAAATCTGAGCCAGTATGGGAAGATCTTAAAAGAGTCTCTGAATGGTAATATTGGCTTTGGTTACCTATGGATTAATACGTACAATGTGCAAATTGAATGGTCCAACTCAAAACTAATTGACAACGAATTACTAAAGAGAGCTCAAATTGTATACCTTATAATGCATGATAGGATATTATATTATCAACAATAACATTAACTCTACCGGTATTCCATCAATGTCTTATGATGTTGATTAAGTAAATTTGACTATTCCTCTTGGATTTGTATTTATCATTTAATTATTCAAAAGGGGTGTGCTAATAACTTTACATTGTGGAAGTGGACTAGTAGTCAGCTCTTCCACAGCAACTAGCATATATAATACATCCAAGAGCACAAAAGGGAAAACAAACGACCCAGTAAAAGGTCAATATATACATACTTAAATATTTTTTTAATTTGCTAAGAACCAAATTAGGCACTGCAGTTGGATTGGATAAAATTCCATATTCATAAAAGATCATCTAATATATAGAATTAGAGCATAAATAGAAGGAACTGATTAATGTCGTCAAAAGTTTCTGTGGTAATAACCTACAAAGAAAGAAAAACCAGTAGTATTAGCTAAGCTTAATTAGCAGACGTGGAATAATTAATAACTAAACCTGGGGAATCATTATCCTTAACTAAGGTACAATGTTTTGATGTCGAAGCTACTGTTACAGAGTCTAATAGCAACTAAAAAAGGGTACATGTTCATGTTCATGATTGAAAAGGGATAAACCAAGACAGAGCTCGTGGCAATCTCTTGGTGCATAATACATATCAGATAGATCATGTTCTTGCTAGTCAATGATTATATCACAAAGTGGAAAAGGCATTGTGGTATATATGCCAACTTAGTGGTCTTCTCCAAAATAAAATAGAAAAAGGCAACTACTGCTCTTCAGAATCTCATCATCACAAAGGAGAAAGATGGAGTTTTGTGGCGAACCTTGTGCGTAATGACTCTTGAATCTGATGAAGCCAAAGTGGTGAAAGGAATGAAAGAAACAACCAATTAAGTTAGTGGGGTTGAACAATGACTTGGATTCCAACTTCAATATAATTCAAATTTAAATTTGTAAGACATACTCTAGACCAACTCTTTTTGAAATTCTGCACCATCTGCTTCTGAGATATGTTGTTGCCTCAATTGCTAATTTGCAGGGTTCACTCAGTACGATTCGAGATGCTTCATGCAGTTTTATCTTTACTACAAATCTAGCTAATATGGCAGAAGTTTAGTACTGTAAACACAATTCTATTCTATCTAAAAGCATATTATTCCCAGTCCCACATGGGCGTCATCTTTTTTGGCACCAGAAAATATATCCCTGGCAAAGGATTTGCCACATCCCTCTAGGCTCTCTACCTCCAACTTAATCTGTATTGGCCAATAGATGTCCACCTACTTCTTTCCGAAACTATTTTCCTCATCTCCCTTTTTGTGTGTCTCATTGCCACAAAGCAGGAGTTTAGTCAATGCAGATAAAGAGAAGTGCAAATCTGTGTTATGCTCATGAGGGTTAGACTGATTAGCATCCAACTAATTAATATCTCAAAAAAGCATGCATCAAAACATGTACATATTAAGGCCCACGTTCGGTGTATATGCATTCAGTGCTAAAATTCATGAGTTTTGCCAGCAATATACACAAAGAAGGGGCACCACGTTTTCATAAATGAGAAACCCTTCATCCTTTACACGTAGCTCTTTTTTACCGACGATCATCACCAAGTCATCAAATGCATAAAGGCTCCAGCTTGCTGTGTCTTTTTTCTGTCTTTCTGACTCTGTTAGGTAAAGTAACTAGTGATATACATCAACGACCTGATCAAAGTTGAGATAAAGCGCACTAATTGCGGATAATAACCTACAGGTTTGAAATTAACTTTACAAATTAAAAAACTTGGTGCCAAATTTAACCCACTACAACCCACAAAGTGATATAGAGGATATTCTGCACTACAGAAACGTGTACAGTATTTTACTTATAGTCTATTAAGTTGTCAAGATCTTCTGCACTAATTACTGATAATGCAAACAGGATTTCTTTCTACCTACAATGACTATAGGAGAATGCAAACCTGTCGAGGCTATTAGTAGTAGTACTGTAGAAATGAATTATCTACACTCCAGCAGACAACTAACGCAAGCCTACTCAACAAATCTCATAACATAAGTAAACGCCTGTTCGCATCGCAACTAATAGAAAAAAAACAACTACTAGACTATATTCTTGCTTATAATTTCACTCTCTCCTCTATACTACTTTAATTCTAGTACCCCTTTATTGGAAGCTATAATATATAAAAAAGTATAGGAGACTATCTACATATACTTATGTTAAATTCTTTAGGTAAAGAATTTATGATAATTAAATGAGACTTCTATAAGCACATATGCCCGATGGATCGATCAAATACACTAAAGACTTTCTTGCTCAAGAAAAAGTACATTACATGTTTCAAAAAGAATAAACAAAATAACAAGTGCTTAGGCCACTCATCTACTACAACAAGCCAACCAATATAATCTGTCAATTGCCCTTGTGTTAGAGAAGGAATCATCCAATCTTATTTTGGAGGGAGAAAAGGCAATCTCACGTGATTTACATGTAAACATATTTAGAATCTTTCTTAACCATAAAAAACGATGTCATCGAGCACCATGGGCAGTTAAAGTCTCTAGAGAGGACTACCTATACCATTGTTCATCCAGAAGCTAGCTGAGCTGACTATATCTTAGAAGGGAGGAAAGGGTGCATTAGAATTTATTATAGCTAGATTTTACCCATATGATTTATCATTAGATGAATAATGTATACTATATCTTAAACATAAACTCTGTTTAATCTATTCATCTAAACAAGTGTCGCCCACATGTGTTTCGGTTCACACTACAAAAAGCATACACTTAATGGGGGTGTGGGAGACTTTGGTGCTCTTCTTTTTAGGGGAAAGGGCACATTACACTACAAAAAGCTTACACTTCATATCTGAGTATTATGCAGCACGAAAGTGCACAGTATCATATGGGGTATACTTTGCATAAAGTGCTTCATTGACCAGATTGTGGATTCTGATAGGCCTCCCATTCGAGCGCATGTCATTCTTGCTTACATCAAATTCTTTTTCTAGAACATCTACTTGAACCTATGGAAATAGATTTACATAAAAGGAACAAGCTCTTACATTACCTTTTCTAGTTGGTTGGTATGAGAGTTATCAACTTCATGATGATACAGGGATTTGATAAGAAGTGGTTCTACTTAAGAAGATTGCTTTAAACTCCATGATCATCCTGGTGCCATACAATCAAGTGACATCCAATTTACTGAAACATGAACTGTTGATGAGATGAACAAAATATGCAGATGTTATGTACATTAATGGATTAGTTGCATGCTATGTCACTTTCCTGTTGTCTCATCCGGCTCTTACTGTTGTTTTACTCCATTTCCATAGTAGCTTAAGAAGAAATTTTTGCATACATAAGCCCTACTCCTATTAGTGAATCCCTTCTAGTTTCTTAATCAAAATGCCATCAGGGGCCCTACTAGATTGCAGCTTCTAATAATTTTACCAGACCAGAGACCAGACAATATAATGGGAGAACTTTCATAGTTCTTTTGCAAGACCCGGTGCCACTTTCAAAAGCAAAATAGAATTGTCGAAATTCGGATTAGTCTGCCTAACATTGGCATCAATACTCAAACCACTTGGATAACCCCAGATGTTAGGTACAAATGTATCAGAGAAAATGCTTTAAAATTATTGTTTCTAAGACCTAAAAGATGCAGAATCTATGGGAGACCTATCCCACTTCATATCATCCATAACAACTTCCACGTATTCATATTCAGCCTTACCTTTTAGCATTCTAAGAATGTTCTCGTGGTCATAGTGCAGTAAATATTTTGTATTCTTATTGTTTCCCTTTTTCCCTTTTCAATACTAGCATTATTGCCTTAGTGCCAATCACTTTGAACTGTGTGCTTTTTCTTTAACTTGCTCCAATCACTTTGAACTGTGCTTTTTCTTTAACTTCCTTTATCGTTCTTCTTCTCTTTTCTTTTCTTTTCTTTTCTTTCTTTTTTCTTTTTCTAGGTAAGAGGTTGTCACATACTTACAAGTTATATCCTTGCGGAATTGAGGCTGAATATTATATCCCAGTAAGTAGCCGTTTGGGGTCAATTCTCTTCCTTATGTTGAAGAATTTGTGCTCTCGGCGGGTGTTGTGGAGAGGGAGAGAATGATAGAGAACTAACTAGTACTGTATTTGACCAACAAAATGCTGTTGAGTGTAAATGGTTCAGAAAGTAGTAGTTTTCCGATGCTACAGAGAGAAAAGAAACAAACCAAAGAAGTTGGCTATCATCTTCATCTGAAAGCAAAACCTCTCCTCCTATTATAGGAAGAGCAGAATGATAAACTAATGGTGCTGCATGCAGTGCAAATGATGCACAAGCAGGCACAGTGCAATCTGAGGTTCTGATCTGATCTACTTTCTTCTATTCATGGATGATGAATTTCAACCTAACAGGATGATAGAATATAGAAAAATACCTTTCTTTTTGGTGCTTAATTCTTAATAGGGCAAAGGATAGTTTCTTTTTCTTTTTCTCTTTCCAAGTTGGATCTCTTCCCAACTACACTAATAAGAGCTAGTAGATAAACTTTCCCAAATGTATGTATGTATACAAATTCAATACACTAGCTAACAATTTTAGGCTACGGAAAGGAGAGCTCTATCTATCTATCTATCTAGCCATGCGGCGCAGAGGCCACAACCTATTAAGAAACATCCTCATGGGAGTGAGGATTGACACGATCCTATGATCCTATCCTAACCAACCAACCAACCACTAACATTTGTTTTTAGTAAGGAGTAAGGACATCATCATAGTGTCTATAGACTCTAGTGCACGCAGGCGATGCACAAGTTTTCTTATTAACAAAAAAAAAAAAAAAATTAGTTTTGTTTTATGTTCTTTTAAATATATAGTTCAAATAAAAATAACATTATTTATTATTTACAAGAATGATTCTTCCAAAAAAAACAAAAAACAGAAAAAAGGAAAATAGTATAGTGATTGAAAAAAAGAGCATCTGAGTGAGTCACAGACCTGGCTGAACCGAGTCAAACACACCTCGAATACATCAACATCAAGACAACAAAAAAGTCATCCTTCATCCATCTGGTTGGAGTCATCAGCTTCTTCCAATTCCAAGTGAGAGCCGCAAATCTTGAAGCACAGCAAACAAAACAACCACTTCCCAGAATGAAGGAAGAGGAAAGCCTCCTCTCCACCCAAACCCAATCGGGCCAACCCGAAACCCAAACCCAAACCCAACTTCTGCACTACTGGGGCAACACCCCAGAGCAAGAATACTACAATCTCCAAGGCATCAAAGCCTCCAAATCCTTCTACACCTCACCCAGAGGCCTCAAGCTCTTCACCCGGCAATGGCTGCCCCTCCTCTCCCCTCCACGTGGCCTCATCTTCATGGTCCACGGCTACGGCAACGACATCAGCTGGACCTTCCAAGCCACCCCAATTTTCCTCGCCCAACAGGGTTTCGCCTGCTTCGCTCTCGACCTCGAAGGCCACGGCCAATCCCACGGCCTCAGGGCCTTCGTCCCCGAGGTCCATCTCGTGGTCCAAGACTGCCTCGCTTTCTTCACCCTGGTCAAGCAGCAAGAACCCCAATTTCTAAACGTCCCCTGTTTTCTCTTCGGCGAGTCCATGGGCGGCGCCATTTGCCTTCTGATCCACTTCGCGGAGCCGGAAGCTTTTCAAGGTGCGATTTTGGTGGCACCCATGTGTAAAATTTCTGATAAGGTGAAACCCAGGTGGCCAATTCCTCAAATTCTGACGTTCGTGGCTAGATTCTTTCCCAGCTTGGCCATTGTGCCCACCGCGGACCTCATGTACAAGTCTGTGAAGGTGGAGGAGAAGAAGATCATAGCGAATATGAATCCGATGAGGTACAGAGGAAAGCCGAGATTGGGGACGGTGGTGGAGTTGCTCAAAGTGACGGAGTATGTGAGTCAGAGATTGGGCGATGTGAGTCTTCCGTTCATCGTGTTGCATGGAAGCGCAGATGTTGTGACCGATCCGAATGTGAGCAGAGCATTGTATGAAGAGGCCAAGAGTGAGGATAAGACGATCAAGATTTATGAAGGGATGATGCATTCCTTGCTGTTTGGGGAGACTGATCAAAATGTTGATATTGTTCGCGCTGATATTCTTTCTTGGTTGAATCATAGATGCCATGCCGGAGGAGGAGGAGCTGAATGACATCAAATTATTACCTTTTTTTTGGTTTTTGCAAAATGGTATTATCTTATTTTTCAATTATCACATAGAGATTCAAATCAAAACTATTTTTGTGTTTTATTTTCAATTGTCACTATTGAAATTGTGTTTGATTGAAATGAAATTGTGTTTGTAGCATGTCCTGCCCTGTCCTGATGATGAACATGGAGGCATTGAATTTGCGTTGCATTGTATTATTTGCCGACTAGCACAACCACCATATGGAAATAGGGTGGCTGACCATATGGTCTTGAAGTTGCATTTGAAACCCTCGCTTGTTTGACTAGTTTGCTTAATTATGTTTAGTTAGTTGGGGAGAGAGAGAGAGAGAGAGAGAGAGAGAGAGAGAGAGAGAGAGAGAGGTATTGCTCCCACCAAAATCAGCAAACCCAGGCACGTACATCAGTAGTGATTAGTGACCATGAAACCAATTTGCTCAACATAAACCATGGATTAATCGTCGATATGAACTAACTGATCACGAGAGAAGAAGACGCAAATTTTCACAACCAAACATTTTGTATTATGTATATCATAACTAAACAAAAAGAAAATATTATAAAAAGAACCAAGGGAAATACCCTCTCATTTACAACTAGAATCTTCACTGGAACTTCACATCTTTAATTGCTTTAAACTTCCTACTCCACATCCTATACAATATCATGGAGAAAACGAGGGCAGGGAAAGAATAGAAATTTCTGGAGAAAAAATTTTGGAAAAAAAAATGATCATGTGATTCTATACAGACTATGAACATAATCTTCTTGTTGATAAAGCCCCATGCTACTCCTTTTAGATCTATGGTCAGATAATCTTCTTCAACTATCAATTCTGCTGCTGCCAATGCCAAAAACAAACCTATTGACAATACCTTTTGTGTTAGCAAAACAAAATCTGCTCAACCTATAAAAACTCTCTAATCACATCATAAACAGGTACTTCAGATCCTCTACTGTCAGACGAGTCTGGCGACCACCAGTTTCATCCTCTCCAAATGCAGAGGCGACCATCTCTCTCTTCTTTTGCTGCACAAAGGGATAATGCACAAATGAAGTTATCAGCCAAACAATGGAATACAATCCAACAATGAAATCAGCAAATATATACCATCCAACAATGAAAGTAGCAAATATGTAAACACTGCCCTACAGAACAGTACACCAGGTGGACAAGTGAAGGGGGGACTAGGTTCACAACATTATGATCCAAAATGAGTAAGTAAATATAGTTTTTTGTGTCCACCCAGCTTTCCTGAGACAAGCCAATTTTTCTATACCATGATGTACTAACAAACAGCAGGCATCCATGTATACATCATAGATACTCAGAAAAACATACTGAACTACAGGTTGTCAGGAATACATATTCCCCAACTAAAAAGCACATGAAGATGAAAAGCCCTACTAGCCCAAGTTATTTCCTCTAATGCCAATGCCATTACGGCAATGCACAACTCAAAGAAGCTTCAGATACATTACAAGCAACAAATGCTACCTGTTCTTCCCCAGTCCATGACTCCATACAAAAAATGTACGAGTAGTACATAAGGTGGTCATTGGTCTAATACATTTGCGCTTCAGCTTATCCAAGCTTGTACTGTAGTGGTTAGAAAAGCTAAACTACAAATAAAACAGAAAAAATAAAGAACAAAAGGAAAGTACCTGAAGGGCCAAAATACGATCTTCAACAGTATCTCTCACAGTCAACCGTAAAACTGTAACAGGACGAGTCTGCCCAATACGATGTGCTCTATCAATTGCTTGATCTTCTGTGGTAGGATTCCACCAAAGATCCAAAAGAAGAACATGACAAGCTGCAACCATGTTGAGACCAAGACTAGCTGCTTTCAAGGACATAATCATAACTGACACCTACAAGAAACCAGGTCACACTTCAGAACTATCAAGTTAAAAAGAAAAAAAACTAAAACTAAAACATTTCTTTGAAACTTGTATCAAGATATCCTATCATTTCCACAAACCTCCGGAAGGGTGTTAAAATCCTTGACAGCTTTATCTCTAGCAACAACTGACATTGTTCCATCGAGTCTTCTATACTCAATGGAAGAAGTTTTAAGGCATGCTTCAAGCAAGTCCAGCATCCTTGTCCACTGTGAAAAGACTATTGCTTTTTCTCTAACTACCTTATTTGAATTCTTAGAACACGTCTCCACATCCAAGTTCTGTCTATTAGGAACATCCTCAAGTGGTTCAACCACACGAATATCAGAAGAATTTTCAGGACAGCCAGCATTTCTATCAACTCGATCATCTAAGCAACTATTTCCAGAAATACAAGCCTGTGGTTTACACATTGCACACAGAACCTCAAGAGCAGCCTTAATTTTTGAAGAATTATATGAGTGATCCTCATAGAAAGACTCTACAGCATCAAAAACTTCTGAACCAATGCTATCTGGATTAGGCTGGTCAGATAGAGAACTGTTCAAAGTGGCTTTTGAAAACACTGAAGAAACATTTAGTCTAACTTTGCAATTTGTGTTGGGGCACTGGTTGTCATCACCAGTAAGATGTTCAGAAATGCATTGGCTACAGAAGACATGACCACATTCAGAAACAACAGCATCTTCAGGTGGATCCTGAGAAAAAATAAATCAAGATGTCAAAAAAGAAAAGCCAGACAAATTTCTTAACCTGCATAAAGTCTAACTTGACAGGCAATGAATATGACAACTTCCAAAGCGCTTAAAGCAAAGGGTTATATCCAAAGAATGTCAAGGGATAAAGGCAATACAAATGCACCATAATTTGGACAGTTGGTCATGTGTGCAATTCTCACAAAAACTACATCCATAAAGGGCTACATAAATTATGCATATTAACAAGACAAACTCGGAACAAGATAGAAAAAATGGATGCTACGCCACATGCCATCCACCCATTTCAGTAAATATAAAATCATTATGTATATACGAAAATTATGAAAGGAAAAAAAAAGTTCAAGTAAACACTTACATTGCAGAGGCCGCATATTGCCAAAGAAGCTTCTAAACAATTCATAAGCGAAAGTTGTTTGTCACGGGGAAGTTTCTTTGCATTCTCAACTGAAGATCTCCATAAAGAATGTGAATCATACCGTCTAACAAGAAGAGGGTGATCACAAGCTTGTCGAAGACGCAAAAGCATTAACAAAATGTTAACATAATTTTGTTTGACAGTTCCAGCGGCTGCGTATTCCTGACATAGCAAGCATGTGTATTTGAGAACATGACCAAAGGCAACTAAACATGTATATCACAAACTTAAAGAAACATACTCTGAAAAACAAAAAACAAAAACTAAAAGGAGCTAAAAGTTTCCTTTCAAAGGGGGAAAAAGAACACAATGACAAAAATAAAGCAATTCCACCATCGAACCCCAAATTAGCTTTCCCAGTAAAAACATACCTCAAACTGTGCACGTGAATCAGCCTCTAGCCTGGAGTAGAAATCTCGTTCTTCCTTTGAAAACTCCACCCTTTTCAATTCTATAAATTTAGGTGGTAAAGTAATAATAGGTTCGCCATCAAGAAGTGTGCCTACAACGAACAATTGCCATCAGATGGTGATAAATCAATGTAGATTAATTGGATATTGACAGTAAAAATGCCAGTGGGAAAAAATTTACAGTTGAGAGCTCACAAATATTATAGAATGATTATAGTGATAAACATTTGTTTTTAATTTAAAAACAAGTTCTAAAACAAAATGCCTTTTATACTTCAATTCACTTCAGATCACAGAAGTTAAAGCTTATTAAATTGTAACCATCCTAGAAAATAAGCATGAATAATAAGAGATAGTTCACCATTGGCTAAAGTCAATGAGAATGACTAGAACACATACAACACTAATTTTCCAAAGGCACCAGCAAAACTAGTAAATTAAGAATATCAAAATAAGCACCATTAAAAGATTCAAATAGCAGAAATATTATATTTTATCACACCTTTTGTGCGGCGTAACATAATTGTCTTCAAAACAGCTTGTAGTTTTCTGTACCCTTTTGCTGGATTCTTGCTAATTGGGACCTTAATTGTAGAGCAAAATGACTTGTATACAGCATAAGGATCATATTTGAGAAATCTAAAGTAGCTATAAAGGTCATCAATCGCATTCTGGATAGGAGTCCCTGATAAGCACCACCTGCGTTTTGCACGCAGACCCCAACAGGCCCTAGCTACTTGAGTTCTGTGATTCTTAATACTCTGAGCCTCATCCAGGACAACCCTAAACCATCCAACCTTAGCAAGAGGGCGAGCAACAGACTCAAGCATTGCACTCTCTAATCCCTTTTTACCCTTTGAACATTTATTAGCAGAACCTTGAGGATATTTCCTTTTCTTACTGGATGAGAAACCCACATGTGGAATATCATTCTCTTCTGGCTTTACTTTCTCCTCATCATCTTCATCAACAAGAGGCTGCTTTGGCACCTCCATGCTGACAATTGAATATGTGGTGAGGACAACATCAAACTTAGCAAGCTCACAAGGATCCTTCGTTCGGTTGCTTCCATGGTAAACTAGCACAGAGATATTAGCTTTTCCAGTTACCTTATTATGCAACTCCTCAGCCCACTGGCGGAGGACACTTGTAGGACAAACAACAAGTGTTCCAGCCGCTGGCCTTCCCTTTGCCTGTACCAAAGGTTTCATGCTCTTCTTTTGAATTCCATTTGGGATAACTTCACGGGCATCAGCATGTTGCTTCCGTCCAACAATCTCAGAAGGCATATCATCATCATTGTCCAAATCAAGAGTTTCCAGCTCGAGCTTTTTAACATCTTGACAGGCCCCATAAGAAGGAGGCCTTTCCTTAAGTATAAGTGCAATTGTCGATATTGTTTTTCCCAATCCCTGCAAAATGATGAGTATATAAATGCTTGAGAATATTTGGCACAAGTCCTTGTCAGATGAAGTTGTGTTAGCTAATAAAAACTAAATAGTACAGACCTGATCATCCGCAAGAATTCCTCCCGAACAGTGCAAACTAGCTGTCTCCTTTTGAACCATCCATGACAATGCAATTCTCTGTCCAGGATATGAGTTAAAACTTAAATGGGCCCCATTCTGATACACAAATATACACAAAGCAGTGGTCTAAAACAAAAAGGCACTGGTTCTAATTTTAAAAGAGAGGGATAGTAGGCACAAGGAAGTAGACTCCTTGAAAGAGAAAATTCCAAATTAATTATAGTTCCATATAACCAGCCAGTTATGACTTTTAAAAAATCAGGAACATTAAACAGACATGCCAAAACCCAAGTGGAAGCTGAGGAAACCCGACTTCTAATTTCAGGTAGAAGATTTTGATTCCACAACATGAACCGCTTGATAACCTGCCATTATTTTAGAAAACATGTGCAACTCGATATACATAAATAAGCTTTCCGCCTGTCTATTGGAACACAACCAGAAAACCATTTTCTACACCTCGAAACAAGGAAATAACCACTCGAAAGTACAAACTTGTATCCAAGTTTATTTTAGTTGATAATCACAATACCAAACTAGATACTTATCACACTAGATTCCCAGTGGACCCACCCAATTGCCATTTTTTGGGGTTGCGAACAATATTTATCTACAATGAAAGTTATCAAAACCTGATGTCGTAATAGAGGAACTGCTAAAAGTCCATCTGGTGGAATAGCTTCCGACTTCGGCTGTGAAAGGTCCTGCAATGCATCACAAAATTTGTCCCACCAAGGTTTCAGATCTCAAGTTTTATTAATGTGCATAAGCGCTTTTACATTTTCTTACTAAAACAAGCACCAAAGAAATATATGTCACCCAATAGAAATCTGGGTGGCATGATAGCATTTTGAAAAGAAAAAAAAAACCTTGCACCAAAATGTAACTAGTAGAATTCTAATGGATGAACATATCTCGAACATACGCAGCACAGAAGTTGAAAATAATAACTCCCAGATATATCCCAATCTCAACTAGGACAAAATATAAACAGTGCGCCCAAGAAAGAGCATCCAATATGATACCATAAAAAATATGTTTAGCATATAAAAATAATGAAATAATAAAAACAATATTAATAAGAGCTTTTCAGTATTTCATGCAGACAGCATATTTCCAAAAACCACTGAGAAGCAATAAAGTTCCAAACTAGAAGAGCTAACCTGCAATGCTACTCTCAAAATCAATTGCTCATCTCTTGCCTTGCATCTCATGCCTCCCACTCCTGTGTAATGATCACTAGGTGCCAATTGCTGTGAATTAACGAGGGTATTTCCAAGTGCTGGAAAGCGATTCAAGGGCACATGGTAACTAGTATTAATAACCACTGGAGAGCGATTTGAGGGTGCAGGATGACTGATATTTTCAATGATGCGTACATCAAAGTCATCTTCTGCAGGAGACTTGTCAGAGAAGTTACTATGAATTGATTCAGGGCTGACTTTTGAAAGATGCATGCTCGTAGAATGAGTTACTTTATCCTCATGTTCGTCCTTAACGTAAGCCTGATTCTTGCTTGAAGTGAATGGCTGAGCAACTGGCAAATAACGTTCTGAGGCATTTGAATTCATAGATGGACCATCAATGGGGGATGTAGAACTTCCATTCATATTATCTTGAAAATGACAAGCTCTTTTATATGAAACAATCATGTCTTCTTTCTGATCCACTGGGTTACCAAGATTCTGAGTTGACATACCAAAACCAGAAAGCTTTGAGTCTTTGTCAAAAAAGTGATCATCAGCACTGAGAGAAGACTGTCTACTGACAGCTTCATCCATGGCTCGATAGGGGTGGAACATAACACTACTAGGTGCAACTAACTCATCGATCATTTCATCCTTCACGCCAATGGGTTCCATTTTGCTTGATATATATGTCTGAGTAGAACTCAGAGGCTCGATTGACGACTTGTTGTCAGCAGGAAAAGAGTCAGCATCGAATGAAGAATTTCCACTGATTGCTGGTATACAATTATCATACCCAAAATTCCACTCCTTCACATCTAAAACATCAATCATTGATGGCTGGAAAGCAGATTTACCAGTTATTCCCTCCTGACCATTTAAATTCATCTTACTACTTGAACATGAACTATCAGTTGGAAACTCCCCTGATTCATCCTTCACATTAGCCATCATTTCTTCATTACTCGGAAAATAATATCTAGTAGGACTATGATGCATTAAGGTATCAGCCAAAAACGTATTATCTAAGCTCATCCCACACAAAGCTGGGTAATGGTCACTGAAAACATCAGAATTTTGACAGAGAGTAGTTTCCATAGATGTGCAGGAATTATTTTCTGAAGGTCCTTGGGTTTCTCTGGTATTCTCCCCGAAATTGCCATAGGTTCCGTAACTTAGATCCATGTTCTCAATACCAAGGCATTGTGAAGCATCTGCAATCAATCATCAGAAGACATAATTAGTGCTTCCACCCCAAATTTTAAAAACAATACAAAGTGCACATGCAATGATCTATATTGAACCTTCAAACATAACAAAAATGTGATTCCTTGGTCCAGTTTATAACCCAGATGAAAGATTAACATACATTCAGAATCAACTTTCCCCGCCACGTCAGCTTTCCCCTGCAGGACATTGGGATCTCTGTGGTCCAAAATGTGGTTAGCATGCCCTTCAGCAAAACTAGATGCCGTACTACATGTGGGCTGTGAAACTGCAACCCTCTCTGCAAAGCAAGCCTCATTGCCTGGAAACAAGGAATTCCAGTCTTTAAGACTTGTAGAGTAGGCATGCCCAGGAGAACCAGTGTGTGCTGATGGTTCCATCTCTTTGTAATCAAAACTCATTGCACGGTTCCCTGCAGATTCAAAAGAGCCGTCTGGAACCCCTGCCCCAGAATCTGAAGCTTCTAAGCTGTATGGAGTATGCCAAGAGCCTGGACCCATTAAATCAGTTTCAATTGGTGGTTCTTCTTTCAACGCTTGAAATCCTAACAAAATCACCAGTTAACCAAGTAATCAAATGGTAGTCAAATGTAGATGTTTGTAATATACCTTCCAGAATACCACAACATTATAGAAGACAACAATATCCTACTACAAAACAACGCCGACAAAAGCATTTCATAGATGGCAGAAACAAATATACATTAAAAAACCTAAAAAGTCAGCACAAAATGATTTACCACTTTGGAGCTGAGCATCGGAAACTGCTTCAGCTTGCAATTGATTTTCCAATGAATAATTCGGTGGACGACTCTGCAGTTGGTACTCAAAATGTCAGCTTTAAAAGAAAAAAGAAAGTGCTAACCATAAGGCTAGGGGGACAATAATTTTAATAGAACAAAACATAGCAATGAAAAAGGAAGACGTCTGTAAGTTTCAGCTAGATGTAGCAATAAACAAAAACAAGAAAGGCATGTGGAAATTTTTCTACAACAACATTTGACATGCCAATATACTCATAAACCCTTTTGGTGCTTCCAGTTACCATACCATACTACCCCTTCTGCTAGTAATTAAAGAGACAAAAAATTGATCATTCTTATCAACACCGCCATGATTTTTCACGAATAACCAGCTGAATTTAAGTGTTTCCACTAGAATTGCATTTAAGTGTTTTCAAGCTCAAACTTAAGGTTGCACAAGAACTCCAAAAAGCACACGAGATTTGCACCGCCCACAGTGCAACGAAGTATCCCAAAAATTGCAAAGAAGTTAAACCCTTTTCCAAGACAGGAGTGCGGAAATTACCGGGGATTCTTCAGCGATAAGGCCTAAGAGCGTGTCTACATCCATCGACATACCCTCATCGTCGAGATCCACGCCGGCGAATCCATAGGCGGCCGGTAACTGATTCCAATTCGAGCTGTCCTCCGCCTGCAACATACTGACACCTAACCCTAGCCCTAGCTTCTGGACTCTTGAACCTCTTTGAAAACCCTAAGCAGACTCAGTCCGATTATGCTCCGAATTTAGAGACAAAAGCTTGGATCCGGGCAATTGCAATCGCATTCTCAGCGAAACGACCAAGAAATTCTAAGGAACTTGAGCGCGGAGAGAGAGAGGGAGGGGGCTTTGGATCGTTATCAATGTGAAGGCTTCTGAGAAAGTTCTCGCGATGCGACTTTTCTTTTATAACTTTTTCTTCTTCTTTATTTTTCTTTTCTCTTTTGTCGTCCTCAAAGCCGCGGATCGTGAAGAATGTGGTGGCGCATGTTTAGATTGGGTTCGGGTTTTTGGGGGGTGCGTAGGTTAAGGACTAGTTCTAATTTTCTGGTTGGTGGTTTTGAGGGTTTTGGCTTTCGTTTTCCTACTCGGACTAGGAATTCCGAATTGGGTTTGGAGATTTGATTTGATTATTGCGGACGATGGCTTTAGATTCGAGTGCCACGCAACCACTCACGCTTGCGGATTGTCATGCTCATGCGTATATCACCTAAGTTTTCAAAAATAGCAAATATTGCAAATGTTATTATTTAATTATGAAAATGGAATGAGAAGCCCTATTTTTTCTCATCAATCCCTTAGAGGAAACTATCTACATTTTAAATTTTATTATATTTTTCTCAATATATTATAAAATAATTAAATAAATTATCGAACTACATAATTGTGAACATAAGCACAATAACACAATCTAAATTCTTAATTACGAAACTAAGGATACAAAGCTAAATTTACATATATAAAAAACAATAACTATGTTAGATTGAATGTATTTAAAGATATGGTACATTTGAGTCCAATACATTTCGAATACATCCATCCAAACGGATTTCTTCAAGTTCATACAAGAGTGTGTTCACATGCTACAATGCAATGATAATAATTTATAATTGAACTGATAACTCGTATGATAAAGCATTTATCTTCACGTTTTATAATTAAGGAGTAAGAAAACAAAATTGATATTTGAAAGCTCAAAAATGTTGTTTGAGCATGGAAACTTGTTTGTAAATTGTACACAAACACAATGTTAATATCGGTGTGAAATTCCATGCTGTTGAATGGAAAAGCGTCTCAAATGGCTGCGAAATTTCCAACTTGCTAACAAAGAAAAGAAGGGTAGTGGCGTAATTCGCGCCTATGATATTGGCAACCGGCCAACGCAATTACGTGTCAAATTTTTTAATATGAAAGTAACCGGTTACACCTAAACTCTGTCCATTTCGCGCCACTATAGTACCTGTTTTCTTCTACTTTTGTAATTTTATAATTTTTTATTCAGGCCTCCCTTGGACCCGTGATTGCCAATAAGTTAAGTAATTCAATAAAACGTTCATTAAAAAAATAAAAAGTAATTAAACAAACATGTAAAAGATTGAGTCGGTGAAAAAGGATGATGGTGATCTCAAGTTATCAACTAATATATTAAAAAATCCTTGTGAAATGTACGACTATATCTTATAAATAAAAAAGTACGATTGTAAGGATCCATTTGATAACTTTTAAAAAATTTATTTTAGTAAAATTGTGTATGAATGATGTACGGAAATTAAGAATCTCACACAATACCAGACACAAATATGTTAAATGCGAAGAAAATAGAAAGTAGATACAAAATAGGACCCAAACATATTATGATATGTGAGAATATAATAGCAATTATTGGAGGAGGATAGAGAGATAAAAGAGTGATTGTCATTCTTCGCGTTAATAAAAGTCAGATAGATAGTGTGTTCGCCTCCTTGTTCTCGAATCAAATGCTTTAATAAAAATTTAATCATGGGCCGGTCTGCATATCAGGCTTGAACTCAAAATCAAAGCCCGAACTAAGCTCAGGTCAAAGCCCAACAATTCCGCGAGCCCAATTCGAATGCAAGCTTGAGTGCATAATCGCGTGACACGTCAAACCATTGAAAACCAAATAAAACAAACTGGGATCCGACCCGTTTAAGGTCAGGACCCAAATTAAGGGTACCCCGAAAACACTAACCACCAACCCAGAAGTTCCGAGCAGCGAGAAGAAAGGGATCGCCGGGATCCCAATTACTCACTCACACGCACAGACGAATACGAAGCAGTATATATATAGACGCAATCATCTCAAACCCAGCACTCTTCAAGGTACCTTTTACTTCAGTATTTTCTTGGCCAACACTTGTCTTGGAAAAAGTTTTCTCGGGAAAACTATCACTCAGCGACAGTTATATTTACAGTTCTATCGCATTTATGCAGAACTAGGGTTTCCAGTTTATGATTCCCAGCTGTTTGCTCAGTATAGGGTCTCTTGTTGCAAATTGAATCGGTGTGTAAAATTTACAGGGCGATTTGAAGGAAGTATAGTTGTGGGAGTTGAATGATGGGATTCAAGGCGGTGCACTGATGTCACTGTTCTGGATTGTGGTTCATCAACTTGCAGAGATCGAAGCAATGGTAAATTGACATCTAGATTATAATTTCGTGGTTTTGACTGCTCAATTATGAGTGTTTAGAACAGGTTCACGACATTGATTTGAGGTTGAATATTTAGTTATTAGGTCAATAACTATCCCCATTGGCATGGTAGAGTGGAGCAGATTTCAATTTCAATAGGAGAAAGAAAAAGAAACTGTAGTTGAAGAGGGTATGTTGTGTGACAATGCAAATTTGTCTAATATTTCTATGTTGTGCCATAGACTGCGTCGAAGAAAGTCATAACAAGGGAAGAGTGGGAGAAGAAGCTCAAGGATGTAAAAATTAAGAAAGAAGACATGAATAAATTGGTGATGAACTTTCTTGTCACCGAGGGTTATGTGGATGCTGCTGAGAAATTCCGAAAGGAATCTGGAACCGAACGTATCCTTTTTTGATATATAACTTAATGGCATGTTCTTATTGTCGATGCCTTGGTGGTGGTGTGCTTCATTTTGTATTATATGTTGTTGTGTTTCTCCTTATGGTTAGATAGCAGATATTGATCTTGCAACAATCACAGACCGTATGGCTGTCAAGAAGGCAGTACAGTGTGGTAATGTGGAGGATGCAATTGAGAAAGTGAATGACTTAAACCCTGAGGTAGGATGCCATTTTTTAAAACTTTTGGTTATCTTCATAAAGTCCGTAATTTTATACTATTGGTGGAAATATTATTGCTCTTTTTTTCCCTTTGATAAAATCTTATATCATTCCTTTTCTCTGAAAATATGCCATGTCATATTAATTGTGGCACTGCAATTTGAATAATCATAATTGTGCCAAACTTGATATGAAGTTTGTCAGCCTCATATGAAGCTCTTTTATAGTTGAGGTTGGTTCATATGTCAAATAGTCACTTATTTGATCATAATCATGAGATTCATTATGTGGTGATTGTAAGTAGTGCGTTAATCAACCTCTAACCAGGATGAGTTTGTCGAGCAGGGTATGTTGTTGTTGTTCGTGGCCTTTTTTTTGTATTGAGCATTAGGGAAGTAGTTATTAAATGCATGATGTTGCTTGATTTATCTGTTAAGAGAGTCATGTCCTTCATCTTATTAAAATATCCTGTCATTTTTCTGGAAAGAAAAACATTCACTGAGTGAAAGTCCCGACTTTTCCTCCGGAACTTGGGAGTAGACGAATTATTGAGGCTCTCAAACCTTAGTAGGAAAAAAAAAAAAATCAGAGTGGTGTTGCTTCTCCCTGTCAAAATCATGGGATTTCTTGGCCAAATTTGTTAGTTTTACCTCCCACCTAGAGCCTCGATCAGTTAGTAACGACTTTTTAAACCCGAAGAGTAGCATATGAGCAAACTATAAATAAGGTGACTCACTTTCATTGTGGTCAGTCTGTCCATCATGTTTAGGACTACTACACTTGTAGAAAAAAGAACATGGACACAAAGAATATAAACCTAAGCTTACATGGATGGTTTTCTGCAACCTGTTTTTTTTCTCTTTATGTAAACATGCAGGTAGTGTAGTTTGACATCCATCCATGAGGAGGGTTTCCTTTCCTTTCGATGCTTTTTTATTTTCTTGCCTTATCCATCCATGAGGGGGGTTTCCTTTTTCTTTTAGATTGACATTCAAGTAGCTTTGTTTCCTTCTTATAATTTTTATTGAGTCTATTCCTTTATAGATTTTTGCTTGCCAGTGAGCAGCCTGTTATTTAGAATATTTAAAGATCTGTGATAACTCTGTTTGCAGATTTTGGATACAAATCCCCAATTATTTTTCCATCTCCAACAGCAACGGTTGATAGAACTAATTCGGAATGGGAAAGTAGAAGAAGCCCTTGAGTTTGCTCAGGAAGAGCTAGCACCAAGGGGAGAAGAAAATGTAAGATTCAGCCCATTGTAACTTTGCTTCGATTGACTATGATGAATATAATTTTATGATTTAACTTTCTGTTGGCTTCCCCCAACTCCACCCAACTGAATTGCATTGACTTTGTTGTTTTTTCACTCATTGGCTGAAATTGAACTGTTGTAAATGTTACCAAGGTGGAAGATAGTAACTGATTTATTGAATGCTTCATTTGACCATATTCCTGTGTTAAATTTTGTATCATTGCATATCTTATCCTTAGAAATTTAGAGTTATGATTACTTATTAATACCATTATATGCAGCAAAGCTTTTTAGAAGAGTTGGAGAGGACTGTTGCACTGCTAGCCTTTGAAGATGTGTCCAATTGTCCTGTTGGAGAGCTTCTGGACATATCACAACGCCTAAAGACAGCAAGTGAGGTGAATGCGGCCATCCTTACCAGCCAGAGTCATGAAAAAGGTTAGTATGTTTGCTAAAGTTTGATTTATTCTGTATCTACCTTTGTTTGTGTTCCCAGTTACGATAGAGCATAACTGGATTATGTTCATTATTTATCTTCAAAAGCATTTATACTGTTAGTTTGGTTAAAAATAATTTTTGGTTGCCGGTCCCAATTTTCTTGGAGTAAAAAGGTTTAGTTGGTAAACCGTAAACCCCACAAGAAAAAGTATGGTCGAGTTATAGTTGTATCAGCACAATATTTTTCATTGCCGAGTACTTTGATCATGGTCTTTACATGATTGGAAAACTAAACTATTTCCCAGTAACAAAATCATTTGGAAAATTCGCTTTAAAAAATCCAACAAGATTGTTCATAAATTTAATACTATTTGAAGGGATAGTCTAGGGTAAAATGCCAAATCGTTCATGAGTATTTTTTAGAGCAAATATTGATTAGGAGATAGATCTCCGAAGAAACAGTTTTTAACTTCTTATCCAATACAAGTCTCCAAATAGGTTAACAATTTTTGTATGTCCTGTTGTCCTACCACAGACCCGAAGCTACCAAGCTTGTTGAAGATGCTGATATGGGCCCAGAACCAGCTTGATGAAAAAGCTGCTTATCCTCGGATAAATGATCTTTCCACTGCCATGCTAGAAGACCCTACTGTCTAGAGGATGTCCGTCCAACCTCCTTGTGCGGAGGATTTAGGTTTCGTCTAGGCTTTCATGGAATGACAAATGATGTACGTACCTTTATCGTGAAATGACTGTATCTACATTCCTCTGGACGTTGTTTCATTGCAATCTTTGTTAATTTTATTATCATTTACGTTTCTGTGGCATTCTCAACATTTGTACAAATGATTGTCTATAACATCTCTTTACGTCTATTTCTTGAGATTGTGGGGTAAATCTTTTTGGCTGTGTTAGGTGCAGCAAAACAGGTAGTGAGCTACAATAATGTATTGCTGTGGTCTTACTTCAAATAATAAAAATTAAAAGAAAAATTGATGTGGTCTTGTCAAAATTTCAAGAAGCGCTCATCGCAGCTTTCAAGTTATAGGTAAGGTAAGCGTTCTTACTTTCCCTTACCTTCTAATGGATTGCATGCAATCTCAGTGAACATAAGAACATCATAATCATGAAATTTCCCTGAGCACTCTAGAAAATAAATACTAGACAATTTAGCCAAACAACGAAGAAGTTGACGTGGGAAATGAAACAAGAAAATCATAAGCCACACTTGTAATTATAACCATTCATTTTTTAGACAATGACCACACTCTTCACAAGCATGGCACTTTAGCTGCTAAAATTTTTGGACACCACACAAACACAAAGAAAAAAGAAAAAACAATCTGCTCCCCTCTTTCCTCTTGCAAACATCACTCCGAAACCACCCAAAGAACATAAACCCAAGCAGTGTTTTTGACATCTGAATCCGAATGGGGCTGAGGTTTTGTTGCATGTTTCAATTTCAAAGCATTTGCTTCCTGGGCTGATTTCCAAGAGCCATCATCAAAATTCAGAGCATAGCTGGAAGGATCATACTGGAACCTCAACTGCTTCTTGCCAGAGTTCTTGAGAGCCTTCTTCAATGCCGCTCGCATTCTCCAGAACAGGCTCCTACACTGCTTCCTACTGTATGCATTCACCCAAACCAAGCTTCCTACCAAACCCATATTCATAAGTGGCTCGCTTACACTGCTGCTCACTGAGTCTCTTGCACCAAAAACCCAATTGGCTCTTCCCCTGTTTTCTTCGCTGTTTTAAATAAGTTGTGAGGTGGGCGGCAATGTCTCTTGCTCTGGGTTTGTTGCTGAGGCAGAGAGAGAAAGGAGAGTTAATAGCTAGCTCCTTCACGGACTGAGAAGAGAGAAGCTGAAAATACAAGACTTGAGAAAAGAAAATCTGTTATGGTGCAGCAGAAGGTTGAAATGCAAAGACATAAAAAGGAGGAGAAACAACCTTTTTGAGAAAGGGTAATGGTGAAGGGAATGCAGATGCAAAACGCAATCTTTTTGGTCTCTCAAAGTAGCTGCGCAGCTTCTGCCGTAGTCTACACTGATATACTTTTTTCTTGAAATCACATTGGGATGCTAAAATTCCACCATCTAGAGAGAGTCAGAGAGAGAGAGAGAGAGAGAGCAGGAACAGTGGGCAGTGAGCCTAAGGTCGTATCACTATCAGAATGTGGTTGGAGCATAACGAATCATTATTTCACGGGTATTTCCTCGGCCTTTACTTTTACCCATTTTGAAGCCATAAAAAATCTTAGAAACTTAAACCCTCTACCGTCTGGCAATTAGGGGACGCCTAAAACCTCACTGTAAACTGCACTCTGTTTTTTTTTCAATTGAAAACTGCCTGTGTTTTTGGGTTGAAGACTGCACTCTGTTTTTTATTTGTTTAGTGGTAGAAAATCCTTTTTTTTTTGGGTCACAATATCTCTAAGAACTCGTTCAAATTCTTTGGATAACGAAGGGTTTAAAGTTCTTATCTTGCTTATTCGAAAAGGAAATAGACCCTGACTGCACATATCCACTCACTGCACAGAGAATTTGATTTTATGGTAATTACACATGTGGTTTCTTTTTAAGTGACTGATTAATAATATCATTAGTGAAAAATAACACATATTATTCAAGTTTAAACCAATGTAAAATTGTTGGATATGTGCGTCACAAAGAAAGCTCAGTTTCATCATGTGCAAAGCAACCAGGGTCTACACATGAATCCAAAACGAAAGAAAAAAAGGGGCAATGAATCTCTACATTGATCAGTCAAATCAGAGTTTTCTTTTTCCCTCAAAAACTGGTTTGTCTCCAATAGAAGGCACTGCGAGAGGTTCTTTGCTTCTCTTTCTTTTTTGGCTTCATCTTCAAAGCCATTTTGCTTTTGCATATGCTCATTAAATTCCCTTTTGTCTCTCTCTTCACATTTGCTCGTGGCCCTTTGCCCATTCTGTGCCCCTGTGCCACTGCACCATCTCCAACTAGGTCCCATTTCAGATGACCTGTCATTCTACCCAACAGAGCAACCTTTGGCACCTCTCTGCGCTGCTGCTTATGTAGCTTTCTCTCTTTTGGATTTGGGTTTTCTAGTTTTGCATGATTGGAATATTTCGGTTTTGGTTTTGCCACCTGGCTTTTTCTTCAAGTGGGGTTCCCTTTTGATGCTTTGGCTCAATGGTTCTAGGCTCCTCCTAGCTAGGGTTAAGTTCATGGTGGACCTCAAGACAATGGAGATTTTGTCTTGATCAAAGGTTGCATCTTGCAACTTAGGCTTTGGTATATGGGGTTGAAAACAATGTGCCAGCCACCCCCAAATTATATCCATTTCAGAGCGCACATTTACACACATTCAACCTGTCAGCCCAAAAATTGTTATCATCTTTCTCCAATAATGCTGCACTATGTACTTGTTTCTCATGAGATTTTGCTTTCTGAATTGCTTGATGGTGCTTCATCATGCGCTCCTCTTACAGCTTTGCTCAGCAATTCCAGCCTTCTATCTTTTGTCCTTCATACTACATTTGAAACGTTGAAGCATTTAATAATATGTAACTTGTTTAGAATTTAGGGTTTCGGATTTAGGGTTATGCTATCATCGAAGCCTCATCATCATTCACACCTCAACTAAAGAATTTGGAGAAGACGACATTATATGTTTGTTTCAATCTGACCATGGTCTCAGCCCAACCCATCTGGGTGGAAACACATGTTACTACTGTAGTGGGCAGTATCCGATTCTCTTTGACCAAATTGCACCCTCACCACGGTTTGATTCCTAGTTGTCACATGCCTTGGTTGCTGTTGGTTTCCCCATATGTTAAAATTGCTTTCTGCTGTCTGAAAAATCTGCATGATAAAAAGCAGATATAAAGATATGAGATCCCAGGAGCACAAAAAAGTATAGTGTTATGTGCTTTTTAACATATAAAATTGGGACATTAATTTCTTGATAAGCAAACCCATATCCAAGAGACGATTCTGTGTTGGCTTGGTGAGAAAGAAAAAGGTGTGAGATTTCAGATTCTAATGCTATCATATATTAGTATCTCATGTGGATTTGCCCTGCTGATGACTTTTTAAGTGCTTTTTCAGAGTGCTGTTTCATGCATGTTTGCCTAGCTCAACTCCCAATCTTCCTGTCTAAACAGTGCTTATTGTTTTGTTTCCTTTTCTAAGTTTGATTACTTATGAATTATTTGATATTGAATACAGGCCGTGTGTTTAGTTGAGATCACGGGAGACCTTTACCGTGCCAAACAGTGTGTAGCATAGTCAATCAATCAGTGCCACGTCAACACTTCTGAACTCAGTTCAGCTAAGCGCAACTTGGTTCAGTCCAACACAAACTTTCCCAAATTAGATAGGAATCTAAATTCAAATCACTTTCGCATCTCTAAAGCAGTAGTAGAAACTGTAGAAAACACAACTGACCTGGTAAAAAAAAATTTTACTCAATCACCAATTCACCATTAGCTCTCCCCTAAAAATTTGCCAGCATAGGTGTGAGTTTCTATAACCTTAAAAATATACATACATATATATATATATATATATATATATATAAGCAACCAGTGAACCAAGAAAAGTATAATAATTGGTTAATTAGATTAAACTAAATTAATGTCCTTGTTAACGTTGTCATCAGTCAAATTGATCTCAATCAAAACAATACTATAACCATCAGATAAAGAGTGACTCAAATTCCACACTCTTCTCTAATCTTTATATAACTCGATTCTCTCTTATTTTTGCATCGAATCCTCCGGAAATCTTAATTATTTTACAAAATGGACAATGCAAGAGACAATAACCCGCCAAAAACATTCTTATCGACTATTCGATCATGCAACACAAGAAACCCTAGAAATTCACACCAACCCTTATTTCTAGTCGATGTCTTCAAGCCACAAATTTGTTGTATTCTCCGCTCTCTCTCTCTCTCTCTATATCTTCCATTTCCCTCTACGTTATATTTCCCATTTGACAAAATCAAAATTAATTAGTTCAAAGCCACCCTCTACCACCAAGCTCCCCCAAGCCACTCCAATGGGTTCTCTCCCATCTCCACCAAGATCCTCAACTCCATCACCTTCCTCACCAAACAACTCTCTGTCCAGTTACAGGGTTTGTGCCACATTTTGCTTCAGAGAACCAGCGCCAAACTTGAACATCTCTAACTGGATAGAGTTCTACGACCCATCAACCAACACATGGACATATGCTAGCTCGATCCCTGGCCTCACTGAGAACCATATCTTGAAGGGTTTTGCCATGGTGTCTTTGGGTGACTCGGTTTACATAATTGGTGGCAGGGTTTGTTTCAAGGAGAGAGCTCACACGTCAGATGAGTGCAGTGAGCTTGTTGACGTGGATATTGAAGTCTCTTCATCTGTGTTGCGTTACAATGTTGGGTCTGACCAATGGTCAACGTGTGCGCCACTTGGCATCCCGAGGTCTGACTTTGCCTGCACGGTTTCGGAGAACAAGATCTATGTGGCCGGGGGTAAGTCCACGCTAGCCTGCGCAAGGGGGATTCCATTAGCTGAGGTGTACGATCCCGAGCTCAACGAGTGGACCCCTCTGCCTAACATGAGCACATTGAGGTACAATTGCGTGGGCGTGACATGGCTGGGTAAAATCTACGTGGTGGGAGGTTTCGCAGAGAGGGCTGACTCAGAGCTGCCTCCGATAATGGTGCGCAGCTGTGCTGAGGTGTACGACACGCAAACAAGGATGTGGGACCTCATCGTGGGGATGTGGCAATTGGATGTGCCACCAAATCAAATTGTGGAAGTGGATGGGAGGCTTTTTAGCTCTGGTGATTGCTACAAGCAATGGAAAGGTCACATTGAGTCATATGATGGGAAGCTCAACATATGGAATGAAGTTGAAGGGTCCCAAATACAAAGTCTGAATTCCCTGATATCTGCATTGGGCACGCAACATGATCACAATTGGGCACTTAGCCAGAGGCGTTACCTAACAATGGCACCCATTGGACTTAACTTGTACTTCCTGGCAGGGTATGGCATATACAGAGAATTCTCAAGAACAATGTCGATTGTTCATAAATTTGATATCTCAGCGACCAGTGATGCATGGACGAGCATGGAGCCGATGGAGGAGGATGGAGAGAAAGAGCTCTGTGGGCATTGCTGTGTTGTTCAGCTCACATGATCAGCTGTTTTTTGCTACTAGCATAGCAGAATAGCAGAGAAAAAAAAAAAAAAAAAACATATTTTGGCACCTGCTTAATAGTAGTTAATTAGTATGGTATTATGGATTAATATTATTGTTATTGTATAAGGTTTTGCTGACTGATCTGTAAGTTTCCTCGGTAGATGTCTTAATTAGGTGTATTATGCCCAAGTTGTGAACTTCATGGAGCAGTCCTGATGATTTTGCATACCTTGTGACAAAATAAGAAAAATAATCTGTTGCCTTTTATTATTCTTGCTGCTTTTTTCTGTAATATATTGATGATCATTTCATTTATCTTGAGTTGGGTAATTTTGTTTTGCTGCCAATTAGTAGTTAATTAGTATTTGTATGGTTGGAAACAGAGATTACTAAACCAGAAAATGGGATTTACCTAGCTAGGAGGAGGCTAGGCCAAATCAGCCACTTTGATATCTTCGCTCTCTATCTGTCTACTAGGAAGGTGCATTGTGCTTGCTGGCCAAACACCCACACAAGAATATTATAAACCAACTTATAAGCCTACAGGCTTGTGGGGGAGCTTTTCTTGTTTTTCATCATAGGGCAGGCATCCCATTCCATGATGCTCGTCCAAAATTGGAAAGAAATGAACGTGACCTAAAATCATTATTATATTTCTTTTGATCACTTTCAAGTAAACTGTAAATCATTATTATGTTTTTGTTTCACTAATTTTCTTAAGATTAAAACTTTTACACCCATCTCGAGCAACACAATAGATGAGACGGACACACGGTCTTAACCAACCGGTTGAACCCACATATGTACCCTTTACTTCTTTTGTATGCCGTGACTTCATGAAGAAAATTATGTTGCCCCCTAATTGGGCCCTATCAATGTCCCACATGCCCCAAGGGCCATGCTTGCCGTGAAAAAGCCCAGATAGGGAGCCACCAATGACCAACCCAATCTGGTCGGTTCTGGTCCATCTCTCCGGTGGGCCATATCCAGTTTGTAAGTGGGACCCAAGACCCAACTTTTGTCCTTTTAAGAATTCCTAGGCTGAAAATGGACTTGGGTCATTCTTATTTTCTTTCTTTCTTTCTAGCTAGTGTACCAGTGTTTTAGCCCAATTTGTGAGCTTTCAAGTGGTCAAGGGCGTGGTTCAGCTTTAGGCACCCTCAAAAGAAGAGAAAGCAAACCGAAAACTCTCAGCCGAAGAAAGCGAAAGCAAAAGATTCATCATTCACGTGACTCGTGAGCCATGAAATCAAACTCAAATGAAATCTTTTACCACGAGCCACCCCACAAACTCACTCACTCACTCACTCACCTTTGATCCGTCGGTCCCTTGCCAACCCCAACCACACTGAGCCACCCTGACCCTGGTCTGCTGTGGACCCCCACCCCCCCCTGACACTCTCCATGCACTCTCCGAGTATCTTTCCTAGTCCCCCCGTCTGAGTTTCAAAAACGCTTTTTGCAAAATTTCTACACTTGCACACGCCACCGCACGTGCCACGCTACACCCTCTCTCCGCCTTTGCACGCGTGAGATTGTACAGCTCTGACCTCACACTCACTCTATAGTACTACTGGCCTATCATGCATAGGCTGATGGTGTCTGACCCGTGTGACTTTGAGTTTGACTATCAACAAACAAAAAAAAAAAAAAAATCGGTGTTTTTAATTTCAAAAAAGACATTATCGGTGAAATGGACGGCCAGGATTTGGTATCTTTGGGAATTGAATCTGAGTCGTTGACATGTGGAACAATCCTCGAGGATTAAGATGTTCCACATGCTGGTTAGGACCTGGAAACCCCGACACTGGAAGCTGATATGTCGGTTCTGTCATGGGGAAACGAGAGATGAAAGCAGAGTGATTTCGACTTTGCCCCTCTTTAATGCCTTTATTTTATTTTTCACTCCTTTTGGACAAGTCCAGCTCATGCCACGTGGCAACAAATAGGTGGTTTATTGGTGTGCCACGTGGAAAAGGAAAAGCGGGGACCATGGGTTTGGAGGGTCTGGTCAGGGAGACATAGGCACACAGCCCGACAAATTGCATGTGCATGTGGTTAATGAAGGTTTAAGATGGGTTTTAAGCTGGGGTCTGTCTCCACAGTGTGCTCAAGTTGCCAATATGAACAACAACCATCTTCAATTTTGTATCACTTCACTATTTTTTGCCTTCATCATATCCTGTATGAACGATACCAAGTTGACTACAATGATTTCTTACAGAGTGTGGAGTGAAAAAAATAGTGAATTGATAACATGTTCGAATGCTCATGGTCAAATCAAAACGAAAATAAAAAGACACTTTACTTTCAGTATTCACATACATGCGGATGATTTTTGATCATAATAACGTGGACGCCACATTAAACTTCACAAAAATCAATGATTATAAATCAATCACCCAAGTAATTAATAATAACTCATACATCAACGATTATAAATAAGTCACACGTCTATTTGGTACTAACCCTACCATTCTTCAAACAAGCATAGTAGAAAAGTGACTACTACATCTGATTGTTATTGCCTACCACATACATTAACGGCTAAAAATTAGTAACACGTCCGGTCGGTGGTAACCCTACCATTCTCCGAGCAATGTGAGTGATATTAATATATGTTATATATAAGTTCCACAAAAGAATTTTGAGGGTGAAGGAAGCAGCTAATTGCCTAATGACTAGGGACGACACGTACTCATGGGCATGAGTTTCTATTTCTTAATGAGATTAACTGTAGGGACCATACACGTTGCCCTTCTCGAGATGAGAAAGAGGGCAAATAGATGGTACTCTACCCGCTTTGTTTCATAACTTTCCCAATTCCCATGGAATCTGTTGCCCTAGCCCTCTCTCTATCTCTCTCTCTCTCTGTTCTTTTCGATATAACAGCAACTAGCACTCTGGATAATATACCACATTTACCATACATGCCCATGTTTCAGCCACTAATTTCACTAACAGCTGCTCTGAGCTAGCATCAAACAAGCTACACCTTCAATGGAAGAATGGTATTTTTGGTAAATTGAATAACATACTGTGGTATTTAGAGAGAGTAAGTCAGTCCAAGCACAAGTAAAGTTATTTAGGCTATAGGGCTGCCCTGCCCAGGTCCCCTTCACTGGAAAGAAACAACAAAACAATAGAGAAAATGTTTTTGGAGCTGGCATGGCCCTTGTATGCATGTCTTTGGATATAAAAAAAAAGGAGGGAAAAGATATTCCTTGGGCCTAAACTGTCTCTGCACCTTGTGGCTAGGAACTCAGATTTTCCCATTTTGCATGTTGTGTGTCCTCAATCTTTCTTTCCGGATAAAAGAGGTTTATAAATATACACCAAAAGGTGATAAATATTGGTCATAATTGTGAGATTGACCTTAAAGTTGGTTTGACAGAAAAGAAATAACAAAGCAAACATTTCTTTTTTTCAAGCCGTCTTATGCAAAACTGCAGCCCAAAATTTAGAGAAAAGTTTCTGCAGTAAAAACACATCAAACTTTTTGGTAAAACAGAGCATGAGTGCAATGTTACAAAAGTTTAATCTAAAAACATGTGGAACCTCCATAAATAAGGCTAAAGAAAAGGCCCATCTATTTATCCCATTCTTGGATACAGAAACTGAAAAGTCATCTTCAGTGGCTATTTGACAATTTGTCCTTTTTTTCAAATTATTATTATTATTTTGGTCATTAATTTATTGTATATATATGTTATTGTGTCAATGGGCTATCCAAATTTCATAGCTTTCTATTTTTTTCACCTCTGTGTAAAGAGAGCCCACATGCCCTGCCTGCTTCTCTCTCTGTTACCAGTTTAAGTACTCCAACAAGCTTTGATAATGGTGTAAAAGAAAAAGCCTTTACTGCTGCCACAAAAACCTCTCTCTGCTTCTCTTTCTGTTTCTTACATCCACACTCACACACTTGGAAGAAAAGTTACGTAGAAATTAACATGGTATGAATGAATCGGACCTAGATATTGAGAGAGAGTGAGAGAGGTGAAAATGGTTGTTGTGAAAGAACATAGCTTTGAATGGCCGCCAATAGGAGCTCCACTAAACATGCAGAGAGATGAGCATCCGGGCAGCCCTCCTGCTTTTAATAGCTCTGTCAATGCGGTGTCGTTTGGGTTCGTAGCCACTGCCATTCTCATCTCCATGTTCTTAGTCATGGCTATCTTTGAGAGATTCCTCAGACCCACGTCGTCGGATTTGACACCGTCCGCTCGCCGGAGAAGCGGAGATCTTGAGGCCCAGTTGGGCTTCAATGGAAAACTCAGTCACCCTTCACCCAAAGTAAGCCACCAAAAACCAAATTCTTTTGCTTTTTTATTACATTCCAGAAAGTTTTCTGGGTCTTGTTTTGAATTGCATTTTGGTATGACTTGTTTGTCTTTCTTCAGCCCTGTGAGGCTCTGTTTGATTCTGGGAAAAGTTGTAATTTTTAATATTTTTAGTTACAAGAAGCAAACTTGGAAATGGTGGTGGATTTTAGGAAAGTATCTTTGACAGTTTTAGGTGGTTATTTTGGTTGTTGCGTATATTAAGGTATCTCTCTGACAATAAGTTTTTTATAATTCTGCATTGTTGCTAATGGAATTACAAGTTTGAAGGGTTTTAGCTCATTACTCTTTTTTTTTTTCCTTCTGAAGAATGTAACATTAGATCTCTTGCACACTCCAGCTTCTATTTGAAGTCCTCAATTTCTTCCCCCACCCCCTCTTTTGGTTTTCCTGTGAAATTTCCTTGAACCTCTCACATCAAGTTTTTGTCTTTCCCTGTTTTATTAGTTTTAATGTTCCTCTTTCAAGTCACCAAATTGCTACTTATTATGTGAACAATGGATTCAGTTCCAGTTTCATTGTTAGACCTTCCCACTCCCATGTTCTTGTACTGGCCATACAGACCATCATGCTGTTCTTTCTCTTCTTACTAAATTACAGTTTTACACATCAGTTGGTGTTTCTGAGTTTATTCGATTTGAATTTTCCATGAGTTCCCAAGAACTATGCTTTCTTGTAATTAATACAGTGGTCTGTGGGCAAGGGCCCATCTAAGTAGTTGTGTGTTGAGTGCTTAGTGCTTGGTGCTTGGTCCCAAGCAAAGTGACTTGGGATTGTACGTACTAGGTGTTTAGACCCACCACTGTGTGTGGTGTTCATCAGAACCATTACTGCCCATCTTTTATGATAGCATGGCTTTGAGCCCCAGGCCGGAGACAGGTGGTCAACTTGTCGTTCTGAGCAAGTCTTAGTTTATTGTCTTTTTTATATATTGTATAGCTTTTAATCGTGCATCC